AAGTAGAAAATAATTTTCTTTTACTTCAAAAAGAAATATTTTTTTATAAAAAAAAACGAGTGGGGTGCTTGATCTCAATTGTTTTAATATTTTACTGACAGATATTGGCCAAAGTAAAGTTATTATATTATAAAAAGTCTTAAAAAGAACCCCACGATTTTATACGAAAATAATATTATTCTTTTGGAAGTTATAGAAAATTATTTTCTAATTTTTACGGTTAGGTTATTTTTTTTTTCTACTTTTTAGGTTGTCTAGTTGCAAAACCGTTTTTTTTTAACTATTATTTATTTTTTGTCATTAATGATGATTATTTTCTCATTAAGACTAAAAAAGTAACAAGTAAGCAAGTCACATACTGTGCTTCAGCACACGCCTCTTAGTACCGTTTTTTAGGGATGGAAAAAGCCGTCAATCCAGAAGATTCTGATCAGAATAATCAGCCAAATTTATCAAATTATTGTATTGTCCTTGAAAGTGTGCAAAGTTTCAATTTAATTCCTCGTTTTGAAGTGGGTCAAAATCACGTTCGAAGATTCCGTTACATACATACCGACCTAATTAAAGCGTGTTCATATAGTAATACTAAGAGAGAGGTCATATAGTAATACTAAGAAAAGAACTGAAGTAACTAAATATTACATTATTAGTATGCAAATTAACTAACCATGTAATAGAATTGTGGAAAACTATAGCGCTATTAAAATTAATCATTAACTTTTCATATAATTTTTATTATGCTATTTTACTGACGAGTATATATTTTTAAGAACAAAGAAGTTAATAAAATGCAAAGATATAGACGTGTGTAGAAATTAATTCCGTCCGTGTGGTGACGGATTAAGGATACAGAGTGTCACCATCCCTATTCAGCCCGTGGGTGTCGTGAGAGCCGACTAAGAGAGAAAAGTACGCAGAACAACAGCACTGCAAAGGGAAGGAAAACTTGACACAAGCCCTATACCAACCCGTCTGGCCAGCGTGGTATAGTAGGCCAAAACCTCCTTTCTAAGGAGAGCCTTATGTCCAGCAGTGGACTATTAAAGGCTGTTGATGTGATGTGTGATGATGTGATGTGTGTAGACAGTTCAGATCAGTATCAGTCTTAAAAGGGTTTATAAAACCCTATCAGTTATGCAACTTTTAATGGTCATTTAAATGGTATGTGACGTGTTCACAATAAAACACACAAAATTCAGGTTTTTTGTGAATTTTGTCAGGAAGAAAACCATTTTCCAAATAAGTAATAAGTTTATGCATGAGCTGTATTAATAATTGTCAATTAATTAGAGTCGAATTTCGTGCTGCCCAAATGTGGCAGGAATAGCCTGGATTATTTAAATCTAATTTAGATTTAATAGATTTTCTATATATATTGTTTTACTGGGAATTATACGTACTCTGTCTATCTTACGGAAAACACACATTTCGTGACCCTAACTGAATTTTAGAAGTTGATAAAAATAATAGTTAAAGGAGTAATTTGTCGTGAAATGTTTCATTTCCTCATAGTTCGTATCTGGGGTCGATCGCACGTGAGTACTTAGTTATGTTTTTAAATACGCACAATAAATGGGGTGACTCCGAAATTATGGAGGCGGTATAGGCGGTGTTTTGTAGTATTTTTATTTCTGTCTTGATATAAATTGATATAATGTTCAGTGTAATTTCTCATGCTTAACTTTAAAAAAGGCAAATGTCGAAATTGCTAAAGCAAATCTATCTTACGGTCTATGCAAAACCCACTTCGTTTAAAAAGCTAATTCAAACATTAGGATATATTAGATTGTTTAATGAAATGATAAAATAAATCCATACATTTTAAATGTTAGGGTTTTATATTGTGTATATATTTTCCTAAATTAGTCTCTCTTATTAAATATAGTATATTAATTTAAAAGGAAAAATAATAGAACACGAGTAGATAATCTAATTATCTCAGTTTGCGATATATCAATAGATATATAAGAATAAATAATAAATATGTAATAAAATTGTGCTAATATTCTTTAATGCCATATCAAATTCTACTATTGCTGTCCCACATGTGGTAGGTAATACTGGCAATACTTCATGAATATTAAATCCAACATCAATCATACACGGAGGTTAAGATTCGCCACACGATACCACCACTCGTTTGCAAGGGGTTGCTTTGACGATATTTAGTTAGCACGTAAACTGGGTTAATTAGAGTGTGTAATGAATTTTGTATACGTAGGTACTCAAGAGGTAAGTGCCTGTGTGTTTTTTGTAGTATGTGAATTCAGATGGTACACAAAAATTTGTGTACCACCTGAATTCATTCATGTGTAAATCTTTCGAGAAGTACACAGGTAGTCTTATAAAGTAACACACATTATAAGACTCGATTTGACACTGACAGATCTTAGTGTGTTTATTTTTTCACTTGTAAATAAGCATGTAATTCAAATAAGTAAAAGTTTTAAATAGATTAATCAAAAATATATGTTAGTAACAAACGGAAAACCGATTGTATACACATGTTTCCTACTAAGGGTTAGTTCAGTATTTCGTACCACACTATCATGATGTTTTTGCACCTTCAACACTGAAGATAACGAACTAAGCGTGGCAACATTTATCGCGGTCTCATACCGACATCGCGGCTGTACGTTACTGTTATCGCGGCCGTGTGGACATCTAGATTTATTCGTCATGAAGCAGGACGTGGACACAAGGAAATGTTTATCTACTACGTACGCTTACTTAGTAACGCTTTTTGCTATGTCCCCATTGGGACAGTGGAATGTTTTTCAGTTTCGATGCCGTAGTAAATTACTAAATACTTTGCAAACCTTTGGAAGAAAATTTAATGTTTAATAATGTTATTTTCTTTTTGCTCTTTTTAGTGAAGTTTTATTAAATAAAAGTTTTACCGGATCCAATCTGTAATAAATAGAATTAACCTTTTATATAACAAAAAAATTAAATAGCTGGTTCATAAATTCTGTTTAATATACCTAAGAATTTGTAATAAGTAAAAAATACAACCAGTCTTACTATAGTACCGTAGCCAAACGGGCACGTGTACCACAGTAACCACAGCGCAGCGTAATGATAGCGGAATCGAACCGCCGATATGTTAATGCGCATCCGATCGTGACGCACGACGTTCATCCTGCTGGACACTTGCTGAAGATCCCTACTCTGATATGTTCTTGGGAATATTTTTTATGTGTAAATAGCATGGTACTTAGTCGTTGGGCATTTGTTCCGATAGTTTGCGCAACGATACTTATGGATTTTAATACAACTAGTGCTGTAATTACAATTACTCGTAATTAAAAAAAAACACTCTTTGGCTATGACTTAAAGCGGTTAAAATATTAAAACATCGACAATAAAAGTTGACATTACAATAACCCCAGCTCATACTATTCAAATTGCGAAATCAGTTATATAAACCTCGTTTGGAATCATTCCCACTATAACTATTAAACACCTATGATTTTATCATACACTCCATATGCATGATAGATGAATACAGTGCTTCGTACAACAAATACAAATAAATCAAGATGTTTCTAACGATAATCTTGTCTGACTTTGTCACTCAACTCTTTGTCCAGACATTTTAGTAGGTTTTTTATTTTGTTTCTGGTAACACCGGTAATAGCGCTCGTTATGTTTTGTTTTGTACTGACATTAAGATGACACGTGTTCTAGTAAAAAATGTAATACGGATATATTTTAGATCAAATGATAATGGAATTTTCCAAGAAGATGATCTTAGCTAATGGAAGCTAAACATTAAGAGTCATTTGACCAAAAGTCCAAACTTAGGTATATTAATAAATGTTAGTGAAGAGTATACTTGTCCAGGTTTTGCATAGAACTGTTGCGTCTAATAAGCTCATTTTTAAGTACCTATCAACTTTTTAAACGCGGTAAAAACGTAACAAAATAGGAAAATATTATACGAATAGCTAAAGCTATATATGCTATTATTGTCATGCTATATGATTAATATTTGAACCTACTAGCATTAGTTGAATTTCAGAGACAGCTTGAGCGTCACACCCAATCATATGCTTTAAAAAATAAAGTCCAACATTATAATAAACTAAATAACATTTTGTAATTTGACAATCAACGCCATCTCTTAGACGGCGCGTGAAATGTTTAAATCATTACAGATTTCAAAGAGTTTGAATAATAATACTTAGACACATTAAAATTCAATGAATAAGTTTTTATCTCGTATATCAGACAATCGGCTTAGTTCAAGGTGTATCTCGGTCGCGGTAAGTTTTACATGACCATTACCATTGTAAGAAAATAATTTATAAATACAAAATTAACTTCAACAAACTCAGCAACACTTTTACTACTTAATAAAAAACAATAGAAGCAATTAACAATGAAAATATCCACTATAACTCGACAAAACGACCCTTTTAAATATCCATGTCCTTAAAAATGTTATAACTCTAAATGTCAAAAAGATCAGTTAAGTAGTTTTTTGATGTGCCTTTTTATTTATTAATACAAAACTGTACCTAGATCTATTACAGTCTGGACAAAGTACTGCGAAATCGTGAATGACAATTTAGATAAGCGACTTAAACTCTAAACTACTGCTTATATTGAAAGTATGTCTGAACTTTGAAAATGATGAATTTTTGTTACCGAAATTATAGTACGAACTAAAAGTAAAGAACTTGGGAACTCATACCGTCTGCGAGTTACCTAACTAGAATATGAACAGCCATTACTGCTTATATTTATGTAAATAAATCTATGCACTTATATTTATATTCATTTCATTATCTCAGATAAGTCAGCACACAGATTAAAGCGAGTTATCAATCGAGATATCGCGTAAGCGACTCGTGGTACCGGCCGGTCAGCTCGGCTTCTAGGTGATCGCTCATGGGCGTCACAATCACAGATTTGTATCAGCAAGATTGTGACGCGACCGATGCACGACTATTTTAATTGGGCCCTGATCTCGGCTCGGATAATTGTTCAACAAGATGGCCGCTTTGTTTTTTCTTCTACGTATGTAGACACGTGTATGACGCTTGTCGGCCTTGTTTTACTCGACATTAAACATTTAATTTCATTGCTTCATTATATAAATTGCAAGTCCAACCATCTGCATGGCGGTAACATACATTGTTCTCTTGCAATTTGTGAGGTAATTTCGTTGTCAAAGGGTACAGGTACTCCTAATCTAGCTCACTATGAAGTTCTAGTCGTAATCATGCGGGTAAGCTTTGAATACAAGAGTCCCATGTTTCTCTCTTGTACGACTGCAATGACATGTTTATAAAGACAAAGGGCATAGATTTATATCATTTAACGAATCGACATTCAGTTTCGCGAGCGCTACATAAACGACACCGAGTCACGCCATCTATCTGATCGTCCGGACAACCTTTCGCGGAGCCAACAATCACAAGCTTATAACTTATTTAGCGAAAAACAGAAGCTGGAGCGAGACTAACGAACCGCGATAAGCTCGCGTTCAGTATGACGCTAACATTAAGCTGCCAGATAAAGGTAGCATTAGTCGGCCAATCGCGCGTCACTAACCAATCGTAATGACCAATCGCAACGCGCGCACACTAGGATAGCGTGACCCGAACGCAATCCGATTCGAACAGTGTTCGTTACCGCGAGATGGCGGTCGCTGCGCTGCCGCACCAATCGTCGCGTCCATCTCGCTGTCGTGCCGATATAATGATCTTCACAGGGCCAGGAGAATGAAGTTGAGCCTCTCATTAATTGGCGTTTTGAGTCGAGATCGCTGTGCGAAAGATAGGTTAATTCCTCGCTGGGCAGAGATCGTTGTCTCTCAAAAAGGAAGGTGAACGAGCGTTTTCTGGAAATCGAGATCCAATTACAACGAGGCCAGTTAAGTTTTTGTTCTGTTTGCCGCAGGCCTCACGATATTGATGGACGAGCATCGACGGTAATGACGAATCAACCGTCCTGGGTGCGCGAACATAATCTCGTCTACATTTCTCGCATTTGTTAAGCCACGGCCGGTGCTTGCGCCCCACCCACGCTGTGGCATTTACATAGCGCGGCCACGTCTCAATTAGGAGCGCTAATGTATGCCTCGACTCACAGGCCCTCCATCTGACTGACGTCGACTGATACGAGACAAAACGTGACGAGTGAGGACTATCGCGGGACGTCCATGCCAACTCAGCATCGCACTGCTATTAACAACACTAATAGGAGCCGATATGGCGTGTGATTCTTTTTGTTTAAACTTGTTGTGTTTAGGTGTATTATCAACTCAATTTTAAATTGTTTTATTTTGTTTTCAGGTGAGGACGAGGAATGGGGAAACGAGAGCGAGGCGATGCCGGGAGAACCTCGTACGCCAAGCTCAGGAGCCGAGAGGGCTGCTTCCAGCGGAGGTGCATCACCTGCGTCTGGGGGTTCGCCCGCTGCGTCACCGCCTCGCCTGCGTCTAAACCCCAGTCTCGCTACAGATCCCGCACTGGCTCCGCAAGCGACATCGCTCAAACGGGAGCCACCTTCACCATCGCCGCCGCCACCACCTGCTCCGCAGGCACGAACGGATTATCTTACCTTCCCTGCGTTTCTATCCTCTCCCCCGAGTTACATGTGTAAGCCGTGCGGTATTCGCTATTCATCTCTTAGTACTTTACAAGCTCATCAAGAACACTATTGTTCAAATAGAAGGCCTAAAGCAGCAGAAGCTACAGATACGACGGCTGATGCTGCTGTGGACGAATCCAGTAGTGATGCGAAGACACCCCGGCCTCCTAGTAAACAATATACTTGTACCTACTGCAACTACAGTGCTGATAAAAAAGTCAGTTTAAATAGACATATGAGAATGCATTCCTCGTCCCCTGTCAGCAGTGGAACCCCGGTACCTACACCAGCGTCAAACGGCGAGGTCACCGAGAGTCCACCCATACAGGATCGCTATTGTGCTGATTGTGACATCCGCTTCAGCTCCATAAAAACATACAGGGCTCACAAAGCGCATTACTGTAGCACAAGACAGGTTGTGAAACCAGTTTTAGCCGCGCCTAGAGGCGGCTCTGCCACATCGGGGTCCTCACCGCCATCGCCAGGAGCCACGCCTCCGGCACAAAACTCGCAATATGCGCTTGCTTTACCAACAAATCCAATTCTTATCGTGCCGTACTCTTTGTTAAGAGGAGCTAGTACTCTCCCAGGTGCTACATTACCTGATCCAGATACACCTTGCTTTTTGTTACCAAACGGAACATTTCAGCCAATAAGCCGCGCTTTGTCGTCTGGCGCCACCGCAGATGGCAAGGAATCTGACGTTTTAAAAGCAGCCAATCGGCCAAGAGAGGCGTCAAGAGATGGTGCAACTCCTTTAGATCTTAGTGTGCGCCGTTCCCCCGAATCCGTAGTGACCGATGAACATGAGAAGGAGAACAGAATACGATCGACAACACCCGAGCAAATCGTGTGTGCTCCATCGCTACCAGGATCTCCAGGTACTCCATCGCCCTCTCGTCGATCCTCATCGCCGAGTGCAGAAAGTTCACCAAAACGAAAACGACGCAATTCTAGGGGACCGACTCCAAAACCTCCTAGTGTGCCATCGCCTCCGGAAGAGAAATTCGCTCCTGTAATTGCACCTGCTATAATACCTCCTGCACTAGCACTGCGCTTGGCAACAGAGTTACCAATAAATGCAGTATCTCCACAGGTTCTTGTAAAGCAAGGGGTATCAAAATGTAAAGAATGCAACATAGTTTTCTGTAAATACGAAAACTATCGCGTCCATAAACGGCATTACTGCTCAGCTGGTGGAGGCGATGAGCGCGTTAGTCCGGCACCAACAGAGCCGGGCCCACCGCCGCAATACCGGCAGCTGATCTGCGTGGCATGCGGCATCCATTTCAATTCACTGGACAATCTGACGACGCACCAGTCGTTTTACTGCACAAAACGAGAGACACGGTCGCCTCGCAATGCCCCAACCGAGGCCCCTCGACCAACGTCGGGGTCGGAAGGTGGTTGGAAGTGTCCCTGTTGTGACATGGTATCTCAAACTGCAGCGGCTGCACAACGTCACATGGAGGCCCACGCTGGAGTCAAGGCCTTTCGCTGCACTATTTGCCGATACAGAGGAAACACGCTACGAGGCATGCGCACGCATATACGCATGCACTTCAACAACAAGAAGCCTGCTGACTTGCAGGTAAAATTATTACTCATATGTAATACTAGAACAGTCTCAGTAATAAGTCAGTTTTTGACGTTGTTTGACCTGAAAAATAACTGGTCGTAAAGTTTGTGAAACTAGCTCTTAAATATTTTAATAGGTAATTTGTCTATGTCTTCTAAGTTTGAAATTTGTTAGCGAACAGAGAGGCATGATAAAATATAATTTGATGAAAATTAAAACGAATTGATGAAAATTAGAATGAATTCTTGAGTCCCATGCATTTGAAACAATATTTCAGACTAAATGTAAAGAGTTCTAAACTCTTTAAAAATGAAGATCAATATGACGTTCGAAAGTTGGCGCCATTGGATATGAGCGTACTAGTCGCTCTCAGGGCCGTTTTTCGTCCGATGACTATGACGCTTAATGCTAATGAGGCTTGGACACAAAAAGGCTTAAAAAATGGTACACAAAAAGAAATTACATAATATATTTTAAATAGTGTGAATTTAAAAAAATCCCACTCAATAATACTTCCAACAACTAGACAAGATCCTGCTGATTGAAAAAACTAATCTTTTCAAACTTTTTCAGGAGGAAAGCTACATTGCTTGCGTTATCGAAGAAGACACTCGCGAGACGACATCTCCAAGTCCAGCTGTGGGCGGCGAACGAGTCCATCGTTGCAGCAACTGTGCCTACACCTCCACTTACCGAGGCAACGTAGTCCGGCACGCTCGCCATGTCCACGCCACCGATGAACCCGAGGAAGAGCAGACCTCGCCTCCTGTTCCATCAGTGGACATAAAAAAAGAACCAGAATCGGAAATGGAAGAAACTCCTAACTACTGCAAGTCTTGTGATATTTCGTTCAAATATGTGGACACTTATAAAGCCCATAAGCAATTCTATTGCACTGCGAATAACCAGGACGCTACAGCAAATAACAACGTACCAACACCAACCAGGGTCTCTGATACACCTGTGGTATGAGCTTTTTGACTGATGACGTATTGTGTTAATTTTTTAAGGTTAACAAATTTCGTCAAAGAGAGTAGATCTTGCAGTTTCTGTATATTAGCGCCATCTGCTACTCAGTATGTGAAAGTTTATCAGAAAAGTGCTTTCTTTTCTACTTTCCATTCGTTCGTTTAAAAAAAAACGTGTATGGTGTTGCAAGTTCAATATTCGGTGAATTTTAACAATTACGCTAGCAAAAGATTTTTGCTTTAGTTGCTTTTACTAATTGTCTTGTAATTATTTCTTAGAATAAATATGTATCGTCTCGTATTGTAACTAAATTATATGTGCAATAAATAAATGAATATTATATTACAATTGTACTGCATATCAATGCCAAATCGATTTTTGAAAATTTCCATTATATATTATATAATATAGTAAAATATAATATCTATGTAAAAATGCAGAAATATATTTATTTATGTTATATTAGAATTTATTCTTCAGTTTATCAATAAGCCTAAATAAACTGACATAAATAGATATATGTTTGCATTCTAAACCTAGTGGACATCTTGTCAATATAATAATGTCTTCAGACCCGGATCTGGGAGGGGGGAGGGGCCAAACCGCGGCACTCGTCCCGAAAATCATAGTGTAGTATGATTAAAAACAAAAAACTTGCTCCACAAAGCGCCTAGCATACGGAAGTCTCTTTGGCTCACCGTCGACTTGTAGGAAAAGGCGTGAACTTTTATATTTGTGAGATTTTTTAAGTAATTTATCTCAAACGCTTGAGAGAGGGGCGCCACTATCAAGTGTCTGCCCCGGTTCGAAAAATTCGTAGATCCGGGGGTGAATGTCTTATTTGCGCATACTTTTTTAAAATGATTGGTAGCCATTTATAAATTTGTATTTATATAAGGACAGGATGTTTATAGGTATAAATATTGGCTATTGTAAATAAAGGCCCTCAATAACTTTTAAGTTTTTTGTTACTCTGTTATTGTAAATGTTCTAGATAAAAGTTAAACTTCGTCATTGTATTAGTATACGGTTAAAATATTACCAAAATTGTAAATACATGTAAAGATATTACTATACAATATTACCATTCGGTTTAAGAGATTGTTCCATTTTGTTGTTAATTTTTGTTTAATATTAATTAGTTATAAGTCGAATTTATCTACTCCCCAAGCAGGTGCTGATTTCAATGCAGTTCTACTTACCAGTGTTTTTTTTTTAATTAAAAATATATTAACCTTTCTTCAATGAAATATATTAAAAGACTGGTATTCAAATACCAATCTTTTAGAAACCTAATATTGGATAACGTTATTATATAGAGATATATACATACGTTTTATTCATATTGGGGACATACATTTTTTTTTGGTTTAATGTTTAAAATCAAGTATATTATTAAAAGCATAATTATACGAGTCACCTTTACATACACATATTATCATAATTAAAAAAAAACCTATTGCAATTTTATTCTTGTTGAAAAACGTGTAAATCAAAAATGTATAATTGGATTACCACAGTATTTCGCATTCTCCAAACTAAAAGTATCAAGACATAAGTGTAACATTATATAAATAAAATACCATGTTTTGTCAATGCCAAAGCATCGCTAGATATATTGTATTTGCATTTATAGTTATCTCATTAATATAGTAATAGAAATAAGTGACTACAAGACTTGTTCCCTACGTATAATATTAGTTATTGTAATTTGTGTAATTTTATGTTTGTCTGTCTGTAAAGGAATGAGTCTCGAATCAGTGTTGCGATAAAAAAATATAGGTAAAAACTTTTTTTTTTTGTCGAATTTGCATTTTATGTGGACAGTTGTTAGTAAGTAAATAAACAGCTGTAACATACGATTAATTACATCTTGTTTCTCGCAAAAATAAACCTTACGCTAGAATGTACGCTTTGTCTTTAGTTTATCGCATTTTACAAGTATAATAAAAATAATATTCTCAGAGGAATAGCGACTGTCCACAAATTGTAGTGTAAAGGTATAAAAGTAAAACATGACATTTTAAAATAAAGAAACAGCATCTGAAGTTATGTGCCATAACTGTGTTCTCAGTAAAAAAAAACAGTTCTCAATGTAGCGACGTCATCTCGAATAAAAACATGTTTTGTTTCATATATTTTCACGAATGGCTTAAATGATTTATTTATGTACATTATGTATTATGATATTTTATAAGTTATCACATTTATTCAAGTCTCGAATTTTATTTGTTGTTACAATCTGGAAATACAATTAAACGAAAATCTTTTGTGGGTACTTGTGGCGTATTCATACTATGAAACAAAAACAAACCTCAATGCCATCTAACGAAGACGCGCCGAACTAAGGAGTAACTGCTAATCTTGTAACGCGTTATAAAAAGTATTCACGCCAATTAGCATTAAATTGTGGAGGAACGGGGTGTTAAGTTCCTTCAACAGAAAGGGAGAATCAACCCAACGGTTGATGTTCGGTCGCAGCCGAGAGGCATGATCATCTCGTCTGATCGAAGGATCCTTTGTGTTAGAGGGACGTGACATCCGTTCCTCCACATACTTAGTGCCATGTAGTAGTAATGGCTTGATCTTGTTGTTTTATATGATATATATATAAATAAATAAATGTTTTAAATGCAAAATAAAAAAAGTTTTTTGAGCTAGATCTCTTTGTCCTACCGATGCCATGAAATCATACCTGCATCACTACTTCCTCTGTAAAATAGTAACAATTTTTATTGCTTGATCAAAATTTTACTCCACGCCTTCTATTAAAGTAAACTTATAGAATATATACTTGTAGTATAAGAATATACTTGTGCGTAATAACAAGTAAACACCTCTTAACTCTGATCGAGGACTGCACGGATGGCGTAGTGGTTTAAGCGGCCACCTCGCCGCTTCCTAAAGCGCCGAGGTGGCCGCTATGCCGTCACTATGTGTGATCCACAATTTGTTGTTCCGAGTCATGGTGTTCTTTGTGTCCGTTTCATGTATCTTTATAAAGGCCCCCGCGACACAGGATATATACCTAACCTAAAGCTTGGGTTGTCTTTTTAACAAAAAAATTTTTTTTTACGTTGAAACATGTCATTTCTATGAGATTCTGAATAAGCCGCACTTTAGTTTTGGTAGTGTATAGTTTACCAATGTTATTAGTTTACAAATCATTTGGGCCATTCGTTCGGTACCTACCAACGTTTAAATGCAACATTATTATTATAAGACATTGAATTAAAGTGATAATAACGATTAAAGAAAGAAAACTGATGTAGGCATACAATGATATTGTAAAAATACCGCCAGACAATAAATTATTTATCACATACTCGTATTCTTTTTTATTTACACCTATGTGGTTGAGACAGACAGCGGACTGGGTGTGTCTATACGCGGCCGTCGTGTTTGTAGTATCAATGACCAAATAAATTGTTTTATACGTCTTTGCCATGGTCATAGACAAAACACTTTAAATCTAAGAGCCATGGTAGTATATTGCACTGCGCGGTTGTACTGCTTTGACGTGTCGTGTGTAGAACGCGCCCGCCCGCTGTTTGCCTCCACCTTCCATTTTTTAAATGAAACGCAATCTGAGAACTATAACAATAGACTTACCCAAGAAGTAAAAAGGGAAAAAAAATTATATCAGCCTGAGAATATGTCTTCAATCAGCAGCGAAATTAGCTAATCTAAAATAGCAAGTAAGTATGTTGCTAATTTAGGGTTTATGTAAAGAATACACCTGAAAGTAGGTGTTCACCAAGACTGTTAGGTGTTGTGGCTCGAGGGTTTTATTATTACTATATGGACCTCCGAGTTCAATAACCTTTCCCTCCTTAAAATAGTTCCAGTATCTGCACATAGAGGAAATCTTACGTACCTATGTACAAACGAGAGCCTATAATATCTCATTTGTACACAAGTGCAAATCATACATAATTTTACCCGCATTTATCAGCAGGTTTCTGTTTACATCTATACAATAGTCAGCTACTGGACATAGGCCTCTCCTTAGATAGAAGGAATTAGCCTACTATACCACGCTGGCCAGACGGGTTTGTGTCAAGTTTTCCTTCTCATTGCAATGCTGTTGATATGCTGCTATGATATGTATATATTTAGAAATATATAAGTATGTTTATCAGCAGTCTGGTTACCACAGCATAGGCTCAGCCTAGCTTGGAATCAGACGGCCGTGTGTGAGATGAGTTAAGGTATTATTATTATAGATGAGATGAAGCTTGCGACGTATTTACATGTTAAGTGTCGCTGTTTACTTTAATCAATAGCCCACATAATTTCAACGTCCACGTCTGCCATGTTTACCTATCCAAGCATTTGTAGTCTTGGTGCTTGTGGACGTTTTCCAAGCCTCGCCAAGGGTGTAAACATAACATTAGATTTAAAATCTGTAAACCTTCCCTCCCCCTGATTCTGGGGGAAGGTCTCAAAAAGCGGCAAGGCACTTATGACTCGAGTTGCAGGAGTCCATGGGCGGTGGTAGCCACTTACCATCAGGTGAGCGGTCTGCTCTGGGTTGAAGTTATTAAAATAAAACTAATAAATTAAACAATATTTACATTTATTTATCTATTCAACAAAACTCAGTCTGGAATATATTTCTCTTAAGATGAATCATCTCGATATTGTTCCTTGAACTGGTCAGTATCTTCATCCTCACCATAATAAAACCCATCATCACTATCATCCTTATATCCTTCATCAGCTTGGACCCTGCTGTATTGTATCAAGGACTGATTGTTGGATAGGTGAGGATTTTCTGACATAACCCTGGCTTTGTACTTGGCATATGCTTCACCATACCGCTTGACATCTTCTTGAAATATATCTGGGGGATCATCATAGATCTTGTCTTCTCCCGTATCGCTGGATAGATCGTCTTCTGTAAAAGATTAAAAAATCTATACTGATAAAATACAGCAGAAGAGTTAATTTTAGACCGGTCTGTTGTTCTGGTTAGAGATCCTGGCTGCCAAGCCAGAGGTCGTGGTTTCGATTCCCATCAAGTACAAATAATTGTCATGAGCATGATCAATTGTTCTGTGGCTGGGTGTAATTTATCTATAATATGTATGTATTTAGAAATATATAAGTATGTTTATCAGCGGTCTGGTTACCATGGTATAAGCTCTGCCTAGTTTCGAATCAGACGGGCCGTGTGAGATGTGTGAGGTTATTATTATTATAATTGGGTTGTATTCATTGAGGAAAATTATTTTAAGCATTCTATTGTCACATAACCTTTAATAGGCCACTGCTGGACACAGGCCTCTCCTTAGAAAGGAAGATTTGGTCTACTATACCACGCTATTATAGCAGACGGGTTGGTATAGGGGTATTTGTGTCGGTGGGCCTCTGTCTTCTAAACAGAGGCTCCACCAACACGTGCGTGCGACAGCAGGGGGGGTCGATAGTGGACCTCTCGTTCGCTACCCCTGCCCTCGCCGCACGAGTAAGGAACTGGCGTGTCCTGGAAGAGGTTGAGACGCTCTCGGATCACCTGTATATCCGATTTGAGCTCTCCCGGACCCAGGACTCCAGTAGGGGTCACGTGGCGCGGCGTTTATCCCGCTTTCCGCGGTGGGCTGTTGCCAGGCTGAACCGGGACCTACTAGAGGAGGCAGCCATAATTCACTCGTGGCTGTCTCCTCAGGCTCCGACCGAGGAGGTCGACGTGGGGGCTGGCCGCTTTCGCGATGCGATTACGCATGTATGCGATGCGGCCATGCCCCGCGTTCGAGGTCGTCGGCCTCCAAGGAAGGAGGTCTACTGGTGGTCCCAGGAGCTGGCGGACCTCCGTGCGGCCTGTACACGTGCCCGGAGGTCCTACACGCGCAGTCGGCGGCGTCACCGTGGAGACGGTGAGGAGGACCGGCTTCATGAGGAGTACCGACGGGCGCGGAAAACTCTGAAGCTGGCCATTAGCCGCGCCAAAGAAGAAAAAAGACAGGAGATGCTGGAGGGTCTTAATCGTGACCCCTGGGGTCGCCCTTACCGCGCGGTGCGACAAAAGCTCCGCGCGTCGGGCCCCCCCCCTTACGGAGACTCTCCAGCCCAGCTTCCTGCGAGAAGTGGTTGAGGGCCTTTTCCCACAACGGGCGGAACACACTCCCCCGTCGATGGCCTCCTTGGCCGGAGACGACGGGGAGCACGGGGAGGATAATGTTCCGCCCGTCCGGGAATCGGAGGTAGGGGCGGCTGTTCTACGGATCCGTTCCAAGAACACCGCCCCTGGGCCAGACGGGGTACCGGCCCGAGTGCTGGCCCTGGACCTCAACCACATGGCAGACCGCCTCGGGGAGGTGTTCGACGCTAGCTTGGCGTCGGGACGCTTCCCTGAGCGCTGGAAGAGCGGGAAGCAGGTCCTATTGAGGAAGCCGGGACGGCCTGCCGATTCGGTCGCGGCCTATAGGCCCATCGTGCTGCTGGACGAGGCGGGCAAATTGTTTGAGAGGGTTCTTTCTGCCCGCATCGTCCGGCACCTCTGCGAGGTGGGCCCCGATCTGTCGGACGCCCAATTTGGTTTTCGGGCGGGGCGTTCGACGGTCGACGCCGTGTTGCGCCTGAGGGCCGTGACCGAAGAGGCCGTGAGCTGTGGCGGCGTGCTGTTGGCGGTGTCACTGGACATCGCCAACGCATTCAATAGTCTGCCATTCAGCTGCATCAGGGAAGCACTCCACTATCATGGGGTGCCAAAGTACCTGAGGCGGCTGGTGGCAGACTATTTAGAGGAGCGTACCGTCGTGTACGAGGACCGAGAAGGTAATCTGAGGTGTCGGCCCATGTCGTGCGGTATTCCACAGGGGTCTGTTCTTGGACCCCTCTTGTGGAACATAGGGTACGACTGGGCCCTTCGCGCCGATTTCCCCCCCGGGCTGGGTGTAATCTGTTACGCAGACGATACCCTCGTGACAGCCCGGGGGGCAAACTTCCAAGAGGCGGCGCGCCTGGCCACAGGGGGAGTCTCCCTGGTGGTCGGGCGCATTGAGGCGCTGGGCTTACGGGTGGCCCTAGATAAGACGGAGGCCCTGTTATTCCATGGGCCCCGTCGTGGTCCACCCCCTGGCGCCTCCATCGTGGTCAACTCGGTCCTCGTACCGGTTCGGGCCCAGATGAAATATCTGGGCCTGATCCTCGACGGGAGGTGGCTCTTCGACGAGCACTTCCGACAGCTTGCTCCAAAGCTGGTCGGCGCTGCGTCTGCCCTAGGGCGACTCTTGCCCAATATGGGTGGACCCAGCGTCGCGACAAGACGGCTGTACACGGGGGTTGTCCGGTCAATGGCACTGTACGGTGCACCGGTGTGGGCGGCGGCTCTGACCGCCCAGAATAGGGTACGCCTCTGGCGCCCTCAGAGGGTAATGGCGGTCAGAGCCATACGCGGTTACCGCACCGTTTCGACGGAGGTGGCATGCGCATTGGCCGGAACTCCCCCGTGGGATTTGGAGGCGGAAGTGCTCGCCGAAGTTTATCGGCGAGTGGCTGACTTCCGGGCGGAGAGCGGATTTCGCCCTCCGCCCGAGGATGTGCGCGAGTGGCGCGAAGCCGCTCGCCGAGCCACGATGGCTCGTTGGTCGTTCCGGCTGGAGACTCCACGCGCTGGCTTTGCCGCCGTGGAGGCTCTCCAGCCGGTCATCGCCGAGTGGGCAGGGCGGCAGCACGGGACCCTTTCCTTCCGGCTGACGCAGGTGCTTTCCGGGCATGGTTGCTTCGGAAAGTACCTGCACACGGTCGCTAGGAGGGAACTGAGTCCCGCCTGCCACCACTGCGACTGCAGTGAGGACTCGGCCCAGCACACGCTGGCGGTCTGCCCCGCATGGGCGGCGCAGCGCCGGGCCCTCACTGCAGTCATCGGAGTGGATCTCTCGCTACCGGCCGTAGTACGCTCCATGGCCGGTAGCGACAGTTGTTTTACCGCGGTCGCAACCTTCTGCGAGGTAGTAATCTCGCGGAAGGAGGCGGCGGAGAGGGCCCGGGAGGACGACCTCCACTCGGACCCGATCCGCCGCCGGCGAACCGGGCGGCGGAGGCCCGCCTACCACAGCCTCATGCCGCCCTGAGTGTGGCCGCGGGTGGACGGGGTGGGTTTCCCCTCCACCCGCATTAGTTGGCCAGCCGCGAGGGGGCGGCGTCCGCGTGTGCCGGACGTCGCCTATAGAGAGGAACAACACTGAGACGGAGCCCGCACCAGGAGCGGGCTGGCGCTAGGAGGGGTCCGGATGTCTTAACAACAGCTGTTCCCGGATCCCTCCTGTTACAGGCGCAGAGTGGCACACCGTGTGGTTTTAGTCGGTCCGAGTCCGACACACCACCCCACCGCAGACCCCGGAGGGGTGACGGTCCGAGGGGATTTCCACACGTTCAAAAAAAAAAAAAAAAAAAAGGGGTATTTGTGTCAAGCTTTCCTTCTCTTTGCAGTGCTGTTATCCTGCGTAGTTTGCTCCCTTAGTCTCTTACGGGATGAGTAGGGGTGGTGACACTTCGACAATCCGTCTGGAGATTAAGGTTTATAATAGTTTGTGCCCTTTACATTTCCCCGTTGTTTTTCTAGTGTGCGCGAGCCTTATACCTATTTGTTTGTATTTTGTGTGTGTGTTAAGATGTGGCCAAATCGGTTTTAGAAGTAATCGAGCGCTAATTCATTTAGTGTCTTATTATTACGATTTCTGATGTCCTTGTCAATGTTTGCGCAATATACATACACAACATACAATCACGCTTGTATCACTAAAGCGGTAGATAGAAGCGTACTAAACGTTTTTGCCGACTACAATTTTCATCACATCACATCAACAGCCTATACTAGTCCACTGCTGGACATAGGCCTTTCTTTAGAAAGGAGGTTTCGGCCTACTATATCACGCTGGCCAGACGGGTTGGTATAGGGTTTGTTTCAGAATTTCCTTCTCTTTGCAGTGCTGTTGTCCTGCTTAGTTTGCTCCCTTAGTCGGCTCTTACGACATCCACGGGATGAATTGGGGTGGTGACAATTTGTATTCTTAATCCGTCACCACACGGACTCTTAATCCGTCACCACACGGACTACAATTTTAGTGACAACTAATAGAGGCTATTGTCCTGAACCACTCAGACACAGAACAAACGATCAGGATTATCTATCTCACAATATTTGTCAGGAGGGGGAATCGAACCCACAACGTCTGTCTAGCTTAGCTTAACACTTAGCTAGCTTAGCTAGCACTAGATTAACAGGCTCAGGTTTTTTCTTTAGTCATAAAATTATTATAAAATCATACACCAAAAAAGATAATGTCGACCTATACCCATCCATTTAAATGGTTGCATCTTGTGAGAGAAATTAAGCAAATAAACTCCATGTAAGTTTAGTTTGGTCCTTTCACTTGATGCACTCTTTTAAATTAAAATTATAAATATCATTATTAAAAAATATTTCGGACATCTAACACACAACGCCATCTAGTTTCAAACTAAGCAGAGCTTTTACTATGAAAGCTAGTTTGACTGATAGAATACTTATGTACTTTTTTTGTAAATAAGAACATACATAGAAAACACCCAAACTCCGCAACAAATATTTGCAGATTTTACAAAAATTTGTTTCGACCCAGGAATCAAACCCGAGAACTCAGCACATCACTGCACCACCGAGGGCGTCGAAAAGAAAGAAAATATACGAGATGTAAAATAACTGTAACTCCCGCATTAGGAATATATCCAGAGTCGTGGGCCTCCCACGACACGGGATTTATTCCTAATTACAAAAATACATGAAACGGACACAAAAAATACCCAGACTCAGAACAATAATCACACAAAGTGTTGTCCCATGTGGGGATCGAACCCATAACACCCAGCGCAATAGTTTAAACTTCAACGCCATACTATGCATCTATATTAGTTTTAAAAAGCTGGAAGAGTTTGAACGTGCTGATCTCAGGAACTACTTACTGGTTCAAATTGAAAAATTATTTTAGTATTGAATAGTCCATTTATCCAAGGAGGCTATATGGTACGACCAATAGGGGCTGAAGCATCAAATAAAAATGTTCCCAAAGAGGGGGAAAATACATTCCTTCTGCGAGATACAGACGAATTTGCACAGATCAGCTAGTTACATCATTTTTTTGTACATTTGGAAAGCCCTTTGGTCCATCACCCCACCAGGGTTTTTTAGTGCAATGGTGTGTCCCAATTGATAATTTGTCTTACCTATGTCAACCCGTTCCATTGCTCTAATCATGTCTTCTTCATCTATACTGCTCGGTTCTGAATCAGGGTATTCATTCCTCCAGTTATTCTCGTCGTTAGAGTCATCATCTTCATCTTCATTGTCTGATGGGTCTTGCCGAGGATCTCGATATGCATCAAATACAAGGTCTGTTTCTACTCTGGAATAGAAATAATGGCGTCGTTGAATTTACAACTGATGCAAAGAATTATGTATTTTAAAGTGACAGGCTAAAGGACATTTTTGGCATCAAGCTATCTATTGCTCGTTTGAGTCTTATGGCTACATACTTAAACACTACTCAACTATTGTTGTTGACATTGTTGAATCTGTAATGCCTAGTTTATATGCGTGCCGAGGCTTGGCAAACGTCCACAAGTTACAAGTTTTACAACGTTTGGTTGTCATTTACACGTTTGCGAGTGTGCTACTGTGTTACGGACAGGCAAACATAGCAGACGTGGACATTTTTTTATTCAAAATATGAACATCATCATCAACAGCCTTTAATAGTCCACTGCCGGCCATAGGCCTCTCCTTAAAAAGGAGGTTTTGGCCTAATATACCACGCTGGCCAGACGAGTTGGTATAGGGTATGTATCAAGTTTTCCTTCTCATTGCTATGCTGTTGTGCAACGTTTGCTACCTTAGTCGGCTGTTACGACACCCACGGGATGAATAGAATCACCACCCGGTGACACTCCGTGTTCACCACAAGGATAAATAATACAAAATATGTACATCGGCAAAAAACAAAAAAAAAACTGTAGCCCTACTACTCAACTGCTCAATTAGTAGAGCATTAAGACTTAATAACGATTTCCGACTGCTTCACTACAATAGTTGTAATATCAAATTGAGCAGTAAGGAACAAGCACACGCCAACGTGTAAATACGTCGCAAACGCTTGCAGCGATCTTCCTTTGATGTATATTAAAAAACCGACACTAGTACCGATCGACGACGAGCGTCTGTTTGTAGACATTTGTCGAGGCTTGTCATGCGTGTAAACGGCCTATCAGGGACACTAATATTAGTGGATGTATTTAATGGTAGATTCTCCCAGTACAAGAGGGTCATAACATATATAATATATGCTCAATGTTTAGCAAATTCTTTCTTTTTTTTCTTTTAATAATATTGTTTTAATTTTACGTATACCTACTATAGATACATGATCTTGAATAGCGTTATTGTTAATCAAATGTGGCAAGTATTTGTATATGCTACATTTGGATCACTGTCTAGAATAATATGTACCTATCTTCTTATGTTTCCCGTGACACGTAATGGCAGTAATCTGTATGTGTGCCTTTTAGAAATAAGTAAATAAATTCATAGAAACAGTAAAAGTAAAGTAAGATAGAGCTATCAGAATATGTGGCAATAGTTAGTTTGAGTTAGAAGTTCTACAATATTGCTAACATTCCCCAATCTATCCATTTAAGCAATTTCTCTTTCCTACCCTCACTTTCCCTTCTTATCAAGTTTCCTTACAACATACTCTTAATTTCCCTATGGTTGGTAAGTTGGATCAAATGCCATATTACCACACACATATGCCATATTACAAATAAAGCATTCTGATTCTGAGCGTACCCAAAATGTGTAGATCTTGATGCACCTTAAGTATGAAACGGAAAACTGAACCAGTATCAGCCACATTTCATTGCAAAATAGTATATAATAAAATTAGTATGGATTACAGATCCATACTAATTTTATAAATGCAAAAGTGTCTGTTGGTATGGGTATACTTTGATTCTTAAGGAAAGCCATATATGCATTTTTATGCGGGCGGAGCAGAGGGCAAAAGCTAGTGGTTTGTAAATTTAGTTATAATAATACTCACCCAACAAAATTATCTATCATAGATATGTCAAAGTCCTGTTTCCAACTTGTGTATACATCATAAGCGTATTGTACATCTCCGTCCTTGTCTCTCGTCTTTTGTAAATCTATGAGATTCAGAATGTCATCACTTTCATCATCATCTTCATCTTTGATACCTCTATAGCAGTTAACAATCTCATATCGGCTTTCTGTTGATACGTCTTTGCGTTCCTTCCTTATTTTCTTTATAATGCTATCCACGTTTGGTATCGTTTGAAGCTTAATGTCTGTTTTTGGTAGTAACTCCTTGACATGTACAGTTTCCTGCAATTTCATTAAGTATAAGATTAGGTATGAGTATATTATGACAGTATTGTTAGATAATATCTAGTGCCAGATAATCAGGCTAGTGAAATAATGTCCTAAATGTGCCATATACCAGGTCGCACATGTAGTCGCATGGTAATTTGTTACTAGCTCATACATTGCTTTACAAAATAAAGGTAAGAGAGTAACACTTCAGATGTGGCTACTTCAATACTAAGAACCCTTTTTCCTTCCTTCCTTATCCTTCTTTAAACTCATTATTTCACTTATAAAAGATATGGAAAGGTAAATTAAGGAAAGAATGCTAAAATAAGAACATTAACATACTCAAATACTTTCTATGGGTCCTTCACTTAAGCCGTAATTTCAACAGCTTAATTTTTCGACAAGGAATGAAAGCTTGGGAGGAACGAATGGAACTTAAGGAGTACCTAGTTTTAAATAAAACTATTCCATACATACTTGGTTATCAACAGTTCCGCGAAATACGAAAAGTGATGGTGATATTTCTTCATTATTCGTTTTGACTCTTTTACACATTAATACAAGAGCATCTTGTGGGCTTTCTTCTAGCCTCCGCTTCACCCTTAACACTGTAGACATTGACATCGTAGGGTTTTTTACAATACTACCTCTTATCAAATCAAAATACCGTATGTAATCAGCAAATTAAATAAATATCAACATTTTATCACCACGCGCGCGTCTATCGTCATTCATGGACTACATGAAAATAATGAAATAAAATACCACAAACACAACACACCTCACTACAGTTACACTGCACTATACTATAAATTTGACAGATTAAAAACTTGTTTTGCCTAGAGAGGTAATACTTTACAAGTACTTGCTCGAAACATTCCTAGGTAGTAGATCGTATACCAATATTACGATTTTTAAATTAATTGGTACATAAAACGCTCATATGTACTGTGAAGAATATTTTTTGGGTATCATTTATTAAAAAAAATCAAAACATATCTCTTTCCTTATTTTGTGTATAATCTGCATTTAATAATTAAATAGACTATGCCGATGTCAGCTATTTTGATCTGAACGAAGACCAATTGATAAATTTAAGTTAATACAGAATTTCTGCATAAGACTTATTTTTGGTTTACGCAAATATAATCATAGTTCTGAATTTGAAACAAACAAAACTCCACTGACATTGAAATTTGTAACTCGCTATAGTTTTTTGGGAGTACTACGAAAACCGACTTTTTTTTTAAAACAATGTTTTTGTGTATATTTTTATATTAATAAAGATATACATAAAGATATATATACATACTTAATTTTTTATTTATTTAATTCATTCCAAATTTCACATTGGAAAATGAATCGATAAGAAAAAGTTTTGATGCTTTGCCATCGATACCAAATAGGTATCGATACTAAGCGAGCGATACCGTATCGAGTAATACAAGGATCAATACCTCAGCTTGATTTGCTATCATAGTAATACTAATATCTTATAGCAGCACAAAAAGTATATGAGGAACAACTCCTTTCTTTAAAAGTTTGGAACCACACTCGACTAATGCCTAGTTTACATAATAGGGATATAACCTAGAGAGAACAAGAGCCCTAATCTTGCAATATAGGTAACGAGAAAGATGGATAATGGCGTGCCCGACTTACAGGTACCTGTACCCCGTGTTCTCTTTATGATTATATCTCTATGACAAGTACTCATATTGCTAAGTTTGTTGTAAGCTTGATCTTGGCAACACTGCATAATACTACCACCGCGCACTTCCATCTGCTTTATCTATGTTGCTATTGCGCTCCGCAGGCGCAGAGTTCGTAGCAGTATTTATTTATCTGTGCTCCGCAGAGACAGAGACTGACAACTGACAAGAAAAACCTACATGTACATTGATTAATTGTCAGCCTCATTAAAGTTTTCAGTTCACATTTCAAGTCACGTTTCAGTTTATATTATAAAACATACACGTACATTGAAAGGTATTTACTAACAAAAAATAGTTACGAACAATAAATTTATGACTGTTTTGGTGTGTATAATATCTTCGTGTTTTAAACACTGAAACTGTGCACAGAATCTCAACTCCAGGCTCTTGAAACATCAGCAGGATGGCTTCCGACGATAATTGGAGGACACCAACATTCAGGCAGAGTGTGGTGTCAAAGATGTAAGTAAACTTTTTTTATTAATTTAGTTCTTTGTCGATAATGTAGTGGAAACCTCGTAAATTCTCTTCCCAAACCTCGAACCCTCAAATGATTAGGGCTCAAATGATGATGTGTATTTTACAAACAATTTATTTACTAAAATCATCATTAAAATTATCACCCATATAGAGAAGGAGTGATTGTTGATGATGATATTGGTTGAAGCTCTTAGCAATTAATCAATGGAATGATATTGTATCACACGCATCGACAAGCTCATGGGCTAGATCTAAATCCTTAAAAAATATTATTATAAGAGAACTGCTTGAATCAGACAATAACCAGACTGTGTGTATAACAGATGGTGAAAATGTGGTAGTTAAATTTTTCAAATCATACGAATTAAAACAACAAAAAGTGTGTTTAAATTTTATACTAAGAAACATCTAGAATCCGTGCAATATAATAAATATAGGTGATATTTTAGTAAACAATCTTAATTCAAACCAAACATTGCTATAAAATTCCTCTTTCAAATAATATTATAGTATGTACTTCTCTGAGTTCCTTTATTTAAAAAAAAAATTAAAACATTAGAGACGATGAGATATTACACTTGTTAGATTTTCATTACAGTGGTGTCGTTAACAATAAAAAGGTGTAAACAACACCCCAGTGGTGTGGTTCAGTGGTATTGTTTACAATACACAATATTACAGGTCACTTATTGTTCCATATAATCAATATCCTACCATTGTAACTTACCAACTTTACCTTTCAAATTGAAGTCCTAAGTATACCATCCAAGGCGCTCGGATGGCTCCCATAGCCAACCTTACCACTATGCATAAAGACCATTCGCAAGTATAAATGTGGAAACAGCACCCCACCACCAGTACCAATATACCATATAATACCTAAAGTGCACTTGCCCCCGTATCACATAAGTGGCATTAAAATTATATTCTGCAAAATTTGGATTTTTAATATGGGTCTGCCTACCACTTTTGCTTTATAGCCCTGTATTTGCATCTGTGTATTGTTTGATAGTTAAAATACATCAATGTCTGTAATATAATCATTATGTGATGAAAGGATTTTTAAAATGTAACTTTTGGCTTAGAATAAGAGTAAAGATATTGTACAAAATTAGTGGTCTACTGGTGGTAGTATGGTATTAATATAACCTTGACTAGAGATTACTTGTGTATCTTTTGGTACATGAGCCCATGATCTATTTTTGCCTTCGCTGTTCCCAATCACAATTAGGTTTTCTAAATTTCCATCACCTCAATGCTTTAAAAGGTCTATCGGGGAATTATAGACTGTTTAAGCATTAAGACATTTGTACAATTTGTACACATTACAAACACACTAAGGTTAGGCTTATATCCTGTGTTGTAGTTAACCGTTTTAGGTAATTGTTCATGTAATAATTTTTTAACTCGATAACAGAGAGGAGGTAATCCAGCGTTCAGGAGTGCAAGTGGCACGGAATAGCAGTGAGATGGAAAATCATGTGTTCATGAAGGCCAAAACCCGTGAAGAGTATATGAATATGGTAGCTAAACTTATTCTGCATGTACGTGAAATGTGTAAGTGTTTTTATCTACATTGTTTACTAACAATAATTATAAATAACCAATCATAACGCAACTGTATGAAGATAAAGGAAGAAAGAAAGTAACATTTCTTAGAATTTGTTTGTTAAAGAGAATCTAGTCGTGAGTAACATTCATTTACAAAGTATTTACTAAAAGTTATTACCCATTTCAGCACAATCTAAACAGAACCAAGGAGCTCCTAATATGCAAAATCCAAATCAAGCCCAATCAGGTCCAAACCAGCAAGTACAAGCTTCCCAGGGCCAGCAACAACAAGGACCTAGTGGCCAAGCTGGTCTGACCCAAGATCCAATCAATGCTTTACAAAACTTAGCATCACAAGGATCAAGGAATCAAATGATGAATATGGGACCACAAAGCCAAATGCAACAACAAGGTGTTATGGGCCCTAATCCTGGAATGGCGGGAATGCAAGGCCAAATGGGCCAACAAGGTCCTATTGTTTCCCAGGGGCCTCAAGCTCAGACTGCTACAAATTTGCTGCAAACGTTAAACCAGAGGCCACAAATGAATATGCAGCTTTCGAACAAAATTGGTGGAGGAATGGGACTAGTTGCTCCACAGCAGCAAATGGGGAATAATTTAGTTGGTGGTATGGGAGGTATGGGGAATCCTATGGGAAGTCAGCTCCAGAGCCAGTTGGCAGGAGGTATGCAGGGACAGATGATGCCTAACATGTCAATGCCAAACAATATGTCTGGACCAATGAGTGGATCTAACACAATGGGGGGGCAAATGCCTTGCAATCAAGTTGGAATGGGGGGTCAGATGGCACCGAATAATATGGGGCAACAGATGGGACCAGGGCAAATGGGTAAGTTTGGTATAATAATATCTTTATCAAATGTATTTAGATGTCAATGTATTGATCAAGAAAGGAATCTATGGAAATGGTGATCTGTCAGTAGCATGTTAAGCTAGATGTAGTGTATGTTAGGTTTGATTCCCATCCAGAACAAATATTGTGTGATCTTTATATTACATTACTGTCTCTTAACTATCTGACTCAGTCTTTATCATTGTATTCCTAAATGCACCTATAGTAAAAAAGTTCTGTTTTGTGAAGCTCTTCATCATCATCATCATCATCAACAGCCTTTAATAGTCCACTGCTGGATATAGGCCTCTCCTTAGAAAGGAGGTTTTGGCCTACTATACTGGCCAGACGGGTTGATATAGGGTTTGTGTCAAGTTTTCCTTCTTTTTGCAGTGCTGGTGTCCTGCATTGTTTTGCGCCCTTAGTCGGCTCTTACGACACCCACGGGATGAATTGGGGTAGTGACATTCCGTATTCTTAATCCGTCACTACACGGACAGCTCTTCATTAAGTGGAAATGAATAAAAAACAATTGTCTAATATACAAAATTCTCGTGTCACCGTGTTTGTTACCAAACTCTTTCGAAAGGGCTAGACCGATTTTTATGAAATTTTGTGTGCATATCGGGTAGGTCTGAGCAACATCTATTTTTCATACCCAATGATTTTTTTTTTGACATGACAAAACAAAGTTTGTCGGGTCAGCTAGTATTTTTAGTAATTTTAAATCATTTTGCTCTAATAGTAGGTACAAATTTTGTGTTGCAGTTGGGAACATGGGCAACAACCAAATTGTAGGCCTAAACATGTTGCATATGCAGCAACGGGTACAGAACAAGCAGGAGGTTGTTGGTGGCATGCTTGGGAGCTCATACCCTGCTAACAGAGCTCCTCCCCCCAACCAGTTTCTCAGACAAAGCCCATCGCCATCTGCACCGTCGCCTAACATGGGAGGCCCTAGCCCTATGGGTAAGAAACAATTTTTTTATATTACACATTTGAGAGATGTATGTGAGATGTGTAAAATATTATTATTATTTGGGTATTTTATTTTTAAAAGATTCTAAACTGGTTTTATTTCGTTTAAAAACTTTATTAGTAATACGTCGTGGGTTATTCGTGACTTGATGGAATGTTGTATTGAAAAAAAAAGGTACTTTCAAACGTCTTTAAATTCTGCATAAAAATAGGTAAAATTAAACCCAGCATTTATATAAAAATGTTTGGCCAGTTGATTTCGACATTCTGGTAGGCTCTAATCACAAGCTCAAACATGAGTACACTACCTGACCTTTTCGATTTACTGCGGTATCCCTAACTCCTTCTCCCTATTCATCTTTCTTACTCCAATTAACCTTATTTGTCGTCTGAAAAAGATTACTTTCCCAAGGAAGCCTGGTCACTAGCGGCAAACTAAAAAAAGAAATCAGTCAAAACTCTTAAACTTTTGCACTCTCCCAATAGGGAAAAGGTTAAAAGGTGAGGATAAGATTAAGGAACCCCTTGTTAACGTGTACAGGTGTTATACAATTTTATTTTATTGCTATCGAAATAAGGTCAAATATGTTTATTCATAATTTCTAACGAATTCTCAAGAGTGGGCTTGAAATCTACAAGCTAAGGTATGTATGTATTTATAAATATTTTTAGTATAGTCATATGGAGGCTCAGAATAAATTATTAACTCAATAACTTACGGTTTTAAGGTCTAAATTCCTTGTAGCTAGTACTACTAACGTACACATTTGATAGCCTTTAATAGTGGTGAATTTGATCTTGATTATAGTTTTTTTTTTCTTAAGATTTAATCTCACGCTTATTAATTTATCTTATGTAGGCAGACAGCTTAATTGAGTCCTCGCATGGGGATACAGGGGCGCGGACGTAGGACTCAGTTTGTCCGCTATGCGGTTAGCGATCGCTTGACAGATCGATTTGACAGTTACGGACGCTTTGTGAGAGTTATACATGAGATTACATTCTCAAGATGAGTCGAAAGACTTCAGACACAAAATTAATAGTCAGTAGTCAATATACAAAAAAAAACTATATCCATATTCACCGAGGTGACAAGATATACGTTTAAACAAAATCGTAGCAAAAAATTTGTACAACAAGGAAAATCATTAAAAGACAACGAAAAATGTCACTGAGAAAACCAAACCGATTTTACAAAAGGCGTGATAAGAAGAAAAGTACTCAGTTTTACACAATTTAAAACACTTGAAACTTTGAATACTGTCCTTAGAGAAGGGAATGTCTTCCAGTGCGATAGAGAATATTTAAAACTATTAAACATGATCTAGGCAGAATGTCTGTGTGGTGACGGATTAAGAATACAGAGTGTCACCAGAGTATTCATCCCGTGGATGCCGTAAGAACCGACTAAGGGAGCAAACTACGCAGGACAACAGCACTGCAAAGAGAAGGAAAACTTGAAACAAACCCTATACCAACCAGTCTGGCCAGCGTGGTGTAGTAAAGGCTGTGGAGAAACATGATCTATCATTAAATACTTTAAAATACATTAAAATTAAAACACACTAAAATTAAATATGTTAGAATACTCAAACGCTATTAACAATTGAAAAGGAAGACATATTTAATTTAATTATCTAGACGAAACTTATGCTAATACGTCTCATAACGTTTTAAAATGTTGGCAATCAAAAATTGAATGCGGCGTGGTGTCTAATATCGGTAAATGAGGTCGTTTGACCGACCGTGTGGTGACGGATTTAAGAATACGGAGAATCACCACCCCTGTTCATCCCGTGGGTGTCGTAAGAGACGACTGAGGGAGCAAACTACGCAGGACAACAACACTGCAAGGAAAACTTAAAACAAACCCTATACCAACCCGTCTGACCAGCGTGGTATAGTAGGCCAAAACCTCTTTTCTAAGGAGAGGCCTATGTCCAGCAGTGGACTGTTAAAGGCTGCTGATGACTCTGATGAGACCCTTTGATTTTGATGGATTTTTAAACGGAGAACTCGTTGTATAATCCAAATATAAAACAGGCCATTATCCAAATATAAAACATCAGGAGGCATGATAATCTACTATGAATTTCGTAAATTTCAATAAAAAAACTCATGGCCATAACGCAGCTTATCGTTCGGTTCGAGAAGAGGAAAAGCCGACTACTGCTTCTACGAAGCCAGCTATGCAAGAAAGGATGACTTATTTAAAATGAATTAAAAGCCATTTCACAGAAGATATTTACAAAATTGACGAGTTATTGGAAGGAAAGGAACACACTAGTGTTACGTTTGCCTCCAAAAAATGTTCGGTTTGCTGGATATTGGATGGATGGATGAATGGATCTGATAATTCTGATGATAACGATTTCGAAAGTGAAGAATTAAGTTCCAGTGAATCTTTCATATAATAAATAGTACTTATATAAGTTTATTACCTAATATTTTATTTTGTTACCTACACACAGTTGTTTCGTTCAAATTTTGTAGTTATAACTTTTCACCACTGTTAACCAATGTGACGTCATATATTAAAAACTGTCCTGTGCACATTTCACAGCTTGTGTATCACGCTAAAGCGCCCGCCGCCTGCACCTCTCCCGGCCCCCGTTCTCATCCTACCTCTTCTCTCTAACTAATATATAAAATTCTTGTGTCACGGTGTGCGTGGTTGAACTCCTCCGAAAAGGCTCGACCGATTTTTGTGAATATCGGGTAGGTCTGAGAATTGGCCAACATCTATTTTTCATACACCAATTTTTTTTTTTGACTAACATTTTTGAAATAATGTATATGGCAAAACAACGTTTGCCGGGTCAGCTAGTTTAATTATAAAAGCAATTCATTTATACACAAGTTGTAATTTTTTATATTATTTATGTATGAAATATATGAATTTAGAAATATTATTATACTAATAAGCATGTTTGTCAGTTTTATTAATATAAAATAAAAGGACTTCAGTAATGTAGAAGTACAATTAATTTTTAAAACTGAATCATAGAAATATATTTTCAATTAGTTTCAGGAATAATTAATGGTCGCATCGCTAAACTTCGTAAGGATATGCGGCGCAGGTTCAAAAAACTACTCAAATCTGTCCCTGACAATAACCTAGGACCGATGTGGAGACAAGTCGATTTTATACTCAATCTTTACGCTCCAGTTAAATTAAATACATAAGAAATTATGTTAGAGTTGTATATTTATGTATGAAAACACAAAATTGTAGGTAAAAGGTATTAAATTACCTTTAAATTGCTTGAGACTTCACTAGAAGGTTAATTTTCGTAATATAATTCGTTCAAAATTTCGATCTAATGTCGATCTATAGGTAAGTACGATACAATATGAGAATAACTTTTATGCAAATGTCATAAAATACCTTTTATGCAAATGTCATAAACTACCTTTCATGCAAATGTCATTAAATACTTTTCATGCAAATGTCATTAAATACTTTCATGCAAATGTCATTAAATACCTTTTATACAAAAGTCATAAAAAGTATTCTCGTAGTAAAGTATTCAATTTCAAATTTTGACTGTAAAGTGATTATATCGTATTGTGGCCGAAAGTTAAATCGGTATTCTGTTAGTCTTAGTAATACTTTACTACAAGAATACCTTTCATTACATTTGTGAGATCGAAAGTACGTCAGAACTGAATTTTGACAGAATTTTTATTACGAGAATTTACCTTCAAGTTGCACACGACGTGATGACGTGACGGTCGGTCTTGATTGATTGACTCTGACCGTCAGCCAACACGAACGTCTAATAGTTATATTAGATCTTCGATAGATCTCAAATTACAGGGATCCGATTAAGTAGGAACAACTTTCTTAACAGGGTCAAATTATTGATGTGTAATGGCCAACTGTTGGCCGATATCTAAGTTGTTATGAAAAATATTATGTTGCTATAAAGCAGTACGCAATTTAATAACTTTAAGAAAGTGTAGTAGTAAGCTAAATGTGATATATTTGTGATAAAATGTTAATATGTGATATATATGTGTATGTGGTGATAACATAATAAATATTTAAAGTATGAAATTGCCGATTTGTACTGAAAAATAGAAACTCGTTTATACAAAATATTTACCCTCTATAAATTGCTGCCATCTAAACGGCAGTTCATTTATGCGTTTATACTCATATCGATAGAACTCTGGGGATCTAGATTCGACAAGCTGTGTGAAAGCATTTTGTACTGCCTCCTGGGAAGTTTTTTTTTATCACGTCAATATTGTCCAACTCCCAAAAAAAAACCGGTCAGGTTCGAGTCGAACTCGTGCGCCGAGGGTTCCGTACCTACCCAGATTTTACGTAGATTTTCGCGAAAAATTGTAGGTAAGTACCAAAATTTATCTTAATTTTCAACTGTTTTTATTTTTTGTAATTATTCCTTTATTTGTGCTGTAAGACGTTTCTTTTTGCCAAATTTCGTTATTCTAGGTCAACGGGAACTACCATATAGGTCGACGGTCGTATTCGACCTAAAACCTATAGGGTACTTCCAGTTGACCTAGAATTGTCAATTTTGGTTAAAAGCAAGGTCTTACATCACTAGTAAAGAGAAAAATCTGAAAAATAAAAAAAGTTGAAAGTTAAGGTAAATTTTGGTACTTACAAGTTTTCGCGAAAATCGAAATTTGTCCATATCTTTTTATCGTGTAGACTCAGGACCTTGATTTTTATATACCTAATATCATAGACCTCAGTATCTGGTATAAATTTCAACTTGCTAGGTCTACCCGTTCCAGAGAAAATCGGTGGTGACACACGGACAGATGGACAAGAAAGTGATCTTATAAGGGTTCCTTTTTTACCTTTTGTGGTACGGAACCCTAAAAATCGGTAGTACGTTGAAGCAAGGTTTGGCGAGTACGGAGGATGACGTATGGTTTCTAACTGCTGCTCTTGTAGAGTTACAACGGTTTCTCGTGCAGTGTTAGGTCTTGCGTAAATTGACACGTTTGATGTATTGAACACTCTCAAATTCATTATCCTGTCAAGTTCAAAAGTACCGGAATTGTTACACGTTACGTGACAAAAAATGAGACAAAATCTTCCGTTTACAATACGAGCATGCAATAATATTAATTAGCAATTAAATAATGCGACCATAACTATTGCAATGTCTTGTAATGTACAATATTTTTGACGTATGGCTTGTTTGAAGTTATCAACTGGCGGCTGAACAACTGAACATCAATCTGTCAATGTTTTGTCAATTTTTTGGCGATCTCACACAGCGTTCTGTCTCATTCACTCACTCACTTTTCATATTATAAGATATACAAAAACTGTTCGATTTAATTTAAATTTTCTTTTATACAAACCTTATTCTGACAATAACGAACACAACAAAAAGAATTATCCAATTTGTTACAGTCGTTCTGAAGTTATGCGCGTACAAACATTTCGGCGATTCATTTTTATTTATATAGATGGATAGGTAGATGTTGTTGATGACTTTTATTTCTGTATAGTTTAGATTTTGGAGTGAATTTATTTTTATTGTTCATTAATTATTAGGACAGGAAAAAGAGATAAGGTAGAGATTTTTTTTTCTATTTATACTTTCTCTCGTTTTCTATTTTTCTATATAATTCTATTTTACTCATTGTACTGAGTTAAAAGATTCTAAGAAAAGTACCATACTACACACATCGTTGTATTTAAATATAGTTTATTAAATGTATACTTGAACATTATGACTTTTATTTATTAAATATGACAAGACAGACAGACTATTTTAGGCGTAAATAGACACCGATTGTAGTAAAGTATACGAATTGAAAACTAGATCAAGTGGAACTAAATGTTGACTGCTCGTTCAGTCAGTTGCCCGACCCGGGGATCATCATGCCGTTCACTGCTGAGCGAGGGCCTTCCCCCAAAGAGCGAATTATTCCCTGGGATTTACCTTTGAATTTACAATGCAAGCTTCTGATCAACGAGTTGACGACGCAGTTCTCAGCTACTGATAACCGTCAACAAGTCCATTGACGTAATACGTAAATTACCAGTATTTTTTAAAGTTTTTGATGTGTAACATCTTTCTTCTTGTTTTCACACAATCTGTTTCATTGATTTCGTAAAAGGGGACGGAATTTTGTAGCAGAGACCACGCTTTTTAATTTGACCAATGAGCGCGCACTTTACTACATGTCGGTCACACGTCATATTCGACTACTGCAAGCTTAAGGCTTACCTACTCGTTTTTATGTTAATTTTTCTAGATCTAATTAGTTTCTTCTCTTTATGAAGCTGGGGTATGAAGCTGAAATAACGGCACTGGTATTTGTACTTTTAACAGTAGCCATATAATATTTCCGGCCAAGTTCCACCTGATTCCCTTCCTTTTCTCATGAATATATAGAACATAAAAACATCAAATAGTATATTTTATTAATAAAACTCAAAGAGATACTAAGATCATATGATTTATTTGGACACTGCGGATTGAAGCCAAACACGAGTTAACGTGAACGTTTGTCGGTAGGTGTGATGGGCAGCACGATGACGTCACCGATGTCGTCGCTGGGCGGGCTCGGCGCGTGCGGCAGCGTGGGCAGTCCCTCGCCCTCTGCGCCGGCGCACCTCGCCCATCACGTGCCTCCACCACAAAGGTTACTGTCTACTATACTTTAATTATCTTTTAAGATTTATTTAATGTTGGCCAAAAATAAAACAAATAAACTAGTCAGCAATTTGATGAGCAAATTAAACACATTTTGAAGATCTTACTGTATTTATTTGTAAATAATAAAATAAAATTCTAAGTTTACAAATGTTAATGTAAGATTGTTTATTTTATGAATTTTTTATACACGTTGTTCATAATGGTGCACAAATGGATTACGGAAAATTTTATCGTCCAGAACAAGGTTCCTGAGAGACATAATTCGTACGACCGGATGGCGTAGTGGTTTGTGTAACGGACCGCTATTCAAAAGGTCGTGGGTTCTATGCCCGCTCAAGTCAAATATTTGTGTGCATGAACATTTAATGTTTGATTTGTTCTGGGTGTTTCTATGTATTATAAGTATGTATTTAGAAAATACATACTTATTATATATACACCTAGTATACCTAGTAGGCCAAAACCTCCTTTGTAAGGAGAGGCCTATGTCCAGCAGTGGACTATTAAAGGCTGTTGATGATGATGATGATGATTTAGAAAATATATATACATATATATATATATATGTATTTATATCAGTTGTCTGGTAGCCATAGTACAAGCTCTGCTTAGTTTGGGACTAGATAGCGTTGTGTGAATGTGGTAGAATATTATACCACTACGCCATCCGTGCAGTTAAGACATGGTCGTATTGGTTTTACTAAATAGCATCAAAGTTCTAATTATCCAATGTAATGATAAGTATAACCTGTATTGCAGAGGTGTGGGTATGGGCATGGTAGCTTCTCCATCATCTTCTCTCAATACGCCAGTTGGTGCGGGCGTGGCGTCTCCGGGTGGCGAGGAGGCTGCTTACAGAGAGAAAGTGCGACAACTCTCTAAGTATATCGAGCCTCTCCGGAGAATGGTGCATCGAATGGTTAGTGAGGGAGAAAGTGAGTATCTGACTTGTTCAAACATTATTTCATTATTATTTCAGCCGACGCCATCTGTTAGAAATAGGCCTTCCCCAAGGTTCACCACAGCAACCGGACATGTGCTGCCCGCATGCAATGGCTTCTCGCCACCTTCACCATATTAAATAATAAGCTAATCATTAGAAAAAAGAGTAATTGAGATTTTGTTGAGGAGTATGAATTCCTCCACAAGAGAGGAATCTCCAAGTTTTTATTTCCAAGTGGTCGGCCACACGTCTGTGAGTCCCCTGGAGTTCCAATCGGAATTTACAGTCGTTTACCCTTGAAGTAGCAAAAAAGTGTAATCCTAAAATGTTTTCAGATGTGGAGAAGTTAACGAAAATGAAGAACTTACTGGACATACTGTCGAACCCGAACAAGCGGATGCCCTTAGAGACGCTTATTAAGTGTGAGGTTGTGTTGGAGAAGTTGGACTTCAAACGAAGCGAGGGGGTTGTTGTTCCCAGCGCTGGGAAGGTGAGTCATCATGTAACTGCAGTGTCGCAACTACAGTATCTCAATAAAAATCTACCCACATGTAATAATACCAGGTCAATTCTCGAGATAAATCGATAATCGAGAGTAGATCTAAAATGAATTTTGAAAGAAGTATTAGAATAAAAAAAAAATCTTCATACACATTTTGCCGCTGGTCTGTAAAATCAGACAAGCCTGTTAATGGGTTCGATTCACACCCAGTACAAGTATTGTGTTGTTCTGTGTCTGGTTGGAATTTATCTATAACTAGCTGAGACCCGCGGTGTTACCCGCGGGAAACGCCGCGGGGCGAAGCTAGTCAAAAAAAGTAGCCTAAGTTACTCCTTATGTCATCAGCTATCTGCCAGTTAAAGTCCCGTCGAAATCGGTCCAGCCGTTCCAGAGATTACCCGGAACAAACAGACAGACAGACAGACAAAAATTGTAAAAAATGTTATTTTGGCATATGTACCGTGTAAACATACATATGCATTTAGTAAAAAGCGGTTATTTTAATATTACAAACAGACACTCCAGTTTTATTTATTTGTATAGATATGTATATATTTAGAAATATATAAGTATGTTTATCAGTAGATTGGTTACCATAGTACAGGCTCTGCCTAGTTTGGACCCAGACTGCCATGTGTAAGATGTGTAAAGTTATTATTATTAGTACTAACGGTTAGTGACCCTGACTGCGAAGCCAGAGATTTCGATTTGATACCCACCCAGAACAAATACTAAGGGCAGGCAGGTGATGATGGTTACAATAGCACAGACTGTCTTGTTTGAGGTTATACTGCCTTGTATAAGATGTGTCAATTTATAATATTATCTTTTTTTTTACCTACAACTATATAAGCAAACTATTTTTAAACGAAGTGTTGCTATTTTCGCAATAAATTAATTAATAAACATTTTGGATTAGTTATTCCTTATGTTAAGTCACAGGATCATTACACTTTAAAGGTAATTTATACTATTTTAGGAACAAATCTTCAATCCTCTGCTAGAAGTGGTAAACAATTGTCTGCAGTCTCCACTCGCAAACCATACACTTAAACGTACCTTCGGACCTACGCTAGATGCGCTTAGTGGCCCAGAAATCAAGTGAGTATTGTATTCTTAATACTTTAGTAGACATATAGGCAAATGCATTTTTGGCATAAAATGTTGTTTCTAGCGGGGAATTCAATAAATAACACTATCGAAATTTTGAACCACAATCTTAACCTCCGACGCGTCGCCGTCACAACAGTTGTGACACCAATTTTTTACGCGGTAGCGTCTCTGTCACAACATTCAGAAGAATATATATCAGGGATTCCAAATATGTTTATTTCATTGAATATAATTATAAAATAACGTAGATATTGAGGTAATAATTACTTCGCTCAGCTGTGACTGGGTCACTAGTTCAAGGGCGCGACAGTAACGGGTCATAGGTCATCCGCGCGCCGTGACGTCCTAAGAGTTAACGCGTAGTGTTCCTTGTGCGTTACTTGATACTAGATGGCGCTGTCTTCAAGATGCCACACGGCTCTCAATTGTTCAAGAAATAACGACTCAACACTACAACCATTTAATCCTATGGCGCAACAATTGTTTATTGATGTCTCTGCAATAAAATTCCATCGGCACGTAAAATTTTCATGACTTACAGCCAGACACTTCAAAAGTATCGAACGAACGTAATAACTTATGTGAGCAATATTTGGCCATACCAAATTATATTTTTATCAACAATTGTTGACAATATGGATTACACATTACATTGAGACTATTTAAACAACAATTGCCGTTGTTACAGAAATCTTCCACCACCTCAAAAGATACCAAAAATTGAGGAGCCCACATTGGAAATACCAGATGTTCTGCAAGGTGAAATAGCACGATTGGATTCCAGATTCAAAGTGAGTACTACAAAACCTTGTTTTCTATAGCGGACATATTAGGGACATACAAAGTTTGTAGGTTATTATCGCTGTTTTATGTCACACAACTCAAGGTATTACTTATTTGCGTGATTGTTATAAATACATGAATGGAAACATAACGATACAGATAAGTGATTGAAAACAGTAAAGCTGCTCAAAATCGATATTAATTGATTTATGGTAACTCAATTTTAGGTGTTTATCTTTTTCTTAGACAACATCATCATCATCATCAACAGCCTTTGATAGTCCACTGCTGGACATAGGCCTCTCCTTAGAAAGAAGGATTTGGCCTACTATACCACGCTGGCCAGGCGGGTTGGTATAGGGTTTGTGTCAAGTTTTCCGTCTTTTTGCAGTGCTAGTGTCCTGCGTTGTTTTGCGCCCTTAGTCGGTTCTTACGACACCCACGGGATGAATTGGGGTAGTGACATTCCGTATTCTTAATCCGTCACTACACACTAAAAACATTTTTATATTATGATCATTATAAAGCAAAGCAAAGCCAAACCAGCGACCTATGGACGACAATCAGATAACCAATCTGATTGTCGTCCATAGGTCGCTGGTTTATATCCGGCTCGAAGGACCATGTAGTAGTTAAGAAGTGGGTAAATGATTCGGCTGACAGATAATAATAAAGAGATTAATTGATGGAATCAAGGAAATAATAGGTCTTAACGGTAGGTGCAAGGTCTGGTGAGTATGGCGGATGAGAGAGAGCTTCCAACCCCAGCTCTTGCAGCTTGGAGACTGTCTGTTGCGCAGTATGGGGTCGCGCGTTGTCGTGAAGGAGCAGTGGGGACGACCGATTGACCAAAGCCGGTTGCAGATGTGACCACCAGACCTTGCACCTACCGACTATAACTTTTTCCAAAATTGAGACAACTTTTTAGTGGGTAAAAAATTCAATTCCCGAGAGGCAGTACAAAATGCCTTTTTGTACTGCCTCCCGTCCAGCTGATTTTTACAAGAAGGGCATCAATAAACTGCCAATGCGTTGGCAAAGATGCGTCGATTGCATGGGTGATTACTTCGAATAACAGAAATAAAAAAGTTTGAAAAAATAAGTACTTTCACTTATTGCATACAAAACGGCAATTTCATAGGTAAAGACCTAATATAATGTAAAGGAGCTAGAAGCGATGGTCGTTGATCGCGTACTAAACGTTTTGTAATAAATAAGTAATTAGTTAAGGTAAAAGCGCTCGCTCGACAATAGTGTACGGTGTTATCTATTAGAACGCAAACAACAACCAGCACGCCTGTGGAATTTATTATCAGAAGCTATAACGTGGGTAAAGTCAGTGGGTATTTTTAAAGAATTCGTGGGTCTGATTCCTACCCAGGATAAATATTTGTGTGATGAGCACGATCGTTTGTTCTGTGTCTGGGTGTAATTTATCAGTGGTACCATACCATGTACCACACCGCCGTGTGTGTAGTTATTATTATTATTAATATACGGAAATGGTAAATACCACACGCTACATATTACTATAGTCCATCTAAAGGTTGTCTGGAAAAATTAAGTTCGCACATTGTATTACTGTTTTTTGTTTGTATTCGGCATCGTAAGAAACAGTACCTATCTATCTATCCGTAGAGGTTCACGTGGGTCTGTTAGTGTAACGAGCGTGTGTCGTGCAGGTGTCGCTGGAGCCGATGTCGTGCGGCGGGGGTGGCGGGGGCGGGGGCGGCGGCGCCATCACGCTGATCGCGGCGCTGGACGAGCCGCGGCTGCCGAGCGTGGCGGGCGTGCACGTGTCGGTGCCGCGCGACTACCCGCGCCGCCCGCCGCTGCGCCTCAAGCCGCGCACCAAGTACGCGCCCGACAGCTTCCGCGCGCGCCTCGAGCGGGCCATGGACGCGCGCTGCGCCAGGTGACCCCCGCACCGGAGAACCCTCACTTCATATCCAGCTCTTTAACAAAACACTTTGACTGCACGGATGGCGTAGTAGTTTAAGCGGTCACCACGCCGCTTCCTACTACGTCGAGTGTTGTGGGTTCAAACCCCACATGAGACGGGTGTTCTTTGTGTCCGTTTCATGTATGTTTGTGAAGTCCCCCACGACACAGGATATATTCTTAATGCGAAAGTTGACTTTAAAATAAAAAAGAAAAATCAATGCAAAATGCTCAATATACGAACTGAGCTGCTTTGATTCTAAAAAGATTGTTAGACTATTTTTACAAAAATTATGTTACGACGATACTGAGGCACTTTTGGTTAAATGACGTCGCTTATAGATTTCGCAGCCTAACGACATACATCACATCAACGTTGACTGCACGAATAGTGGTTTAAGTAGTCCCCACGCCGCTTCCTAATGCGCCGAGTGTTATGGGTTCAAACCCCACATGGGACAACACTTTGTGTGATCCACAAATTGTTGTTCTGAGTTTGGGTGTACTTTGTAGCCGTTTCATTTATGTTTGTAAAGTCCCCCGCGACACAGGATATATTCATAATGCGGAAGTAGTCTTTAAAAAAAAATCAACAGCCTTTAACAGTCCACTGCTGGACCAAAGCCTCTCCTTAGAAAGGAAAATTTGGCCTACTATACCACGCTGGCAAGACGGGTTGGTATAGGGTTTTGTGTCAAGTTTTCCTTCTCTCTGCAGTGCTGTTGTTCTGCGTAGATTTTTCCCTTAGTCGCCTTTTACCCCACCTATTATTCATACAGAATTTATTCGTTATTCACATGCACTACTCACATCACCACACACAACATATATAAACTAGACACACACACAAAACACCGCAATAACTTACACAATTCTTCAACTTAAATTAAAAAGACGTGCCATACCAATTTTCACCTTTTTTGGGGGTTCAGGACTGCCTTATCCCTAACACAGGCTATTCTGTAGTCTACCTGGGAAAACAACACTCAACCATGATATTATTGTAGACTTATAATAGTAACACAAACTAATCTTAATAAATGTAAAATTTTGTAAACCTACAATCTCATTTACACTATAAAAAGTTTTAATAACTATTATTATTCACTGTACGAGATCATACATGATTTAATGACTCTACACTTTACAAAAAAATAAAGAATAATACAATTTTATAACGAGTGTGCAATATCGATCACTGAACTAAACACACGTCGCGTAGTAGTATAAAATCGGTAATTAGGCGAACTTGTAACAATTTTCTAAGTGAAAAAAAAACGGGTTTTACGTTAACTCACACACTCTTATTTTATCAGAACACCGCCTACAACGTACAATATTGCCTTGCTCCACCAGATATCTGATGTCACTGGACATTTATAGTCCACTCGTTGATCACGGTAGTTCGACCTATTAAATAAAAACCCCCTTGAGGCTTGTCCGTTTACCTGTATATCTCCATGAATCCTTATTATCATTATTTTATGAAGTCATCGGGACCGAACTACGGGAAAGAAAAAAAACAGTGTGTGTGTGTGTGTGTGTTTTATCATTACCTTTACACTACGTCACTACACGCGTCATTTCTGGTAGCCGTAGTAGTGTCAACTGTGTTGCATCTGCGCACAAGGATTTCGTCTCAGGATGTTAATCTACTATGACGTTGGATGCCCTATATTAATGACTAGCTGACCCGCGCAACTTCGTCTGCGTCTCTCAAAAGTAATAAATTTTCTCCGTTTTTGAAACATTCTTCATTGGTGCTCCGCTCCTATTGGTCTTAGCGTGATGATATATAGCCTATAGCCTTCCTCGATAAATGGGCTATCTAACACTGAAATAATTTTTCAAATCGGACCAGTAGTTTCTGAGATTAGCGCGTGCGAACAAACAAACAAACTCTTCAGCTTTATAATATTAGTATAGATGATCGCGATTTATTTTACTTTAATATTACTGTAGTTTATAGACAACCAGGAGCTAGGGTGCAAAGCACAATGTGTGTGTAAACATCCTTACATCACAAAATTGAAATACAGGCAGATATCGTAAGTTTTTAAAAAATAATTGTGTTACAGGTTACCGAAAAGCTGCTCAGTGGGTCAACTCCTAGACGCGTGGGAGATGAGCGTGAGACAAGCGTGTGCGCCCAATCCCACAACGTACGGTCCTGTCCCAGCGCTGGGCTTGTGAATATCGACGGTCGCTGTATGAAATCTATTCAAGCCTGTTGATGGAGTATTGTAGTATGTAATATTTTGATCATATTTTTATATAAGCCGCTAATATTAATAAGTTTATTGTTCAGTATAATACATTTTAATCCACAATAAGTGAAGTATCAAAACGTACATACACTTATTATAAATAATAAAATATTAGACAAATGTACTTGTTACTAATAAATTATTTTAGATCATTTATATGTCTATATAAAGTGTCGCACTACAAACCAATAAACAAACGGACCAATTTTATTATATTGATGTGTGTGACAGCCACATTTGACACTCACCAAACAGCGAAAATAAAGTTATCAGCTGACAGTTGGACACCTTTGACGCTGTCACAGCGTTGACAGTCAAACTAGACATATCAATGATCTAAGCGAAAATAAAATAGCAAAGTAAGCAAATTATGTTTTATGTAATGTCTTCCTGACACTTATACCCCAATTTTGTATTCCAAAATAGGAAAGAAGTTATAAAACCGCGTAATGTGACTCCTGTATTTTGATATACTCGGTTTATTTGGATATTATGTGCATGTAATATAATTAAAAAGAGTCTCAGCTCAAAAATACAGAAAACTTACATGACCTGCAGTAATAATTAGTGATACAATACAATAAAAATCATTTTTATCTAAATAAACGATTTTGGTGAACTTTTTATGTCCAAATTTGTGTCCATTAAATTATGTCCAATCTTGTAATCTGTTTGGAGTCCATTTGAGCCACTATATACTAGGATCTTCATTTTTGGTTCCATAATTAAATAGAGTTTATATTTTAATCGCCTGATTGGCCCTTTCCTTCTATTATAGAACTTGAAAGTTTAAAAGTTATTTATTTTTATAGTTAGTAAAAAACGATCTATATACATATATATACGATATACATACATTCTTATTAGTAAACTTATATATTCTTAATGTTACCAGTAGGCTGGCTGGCTAGGCTAGTGCTGGGAAAATTCAAACTAAAAAGTTTTTTAGATGCATGGTTTAATTATTAATAAATAATTAACATATTAATTGGTTGTTTTTTAACAGGTCAATATTTTTAGGTTTTTATTGTTACTGTGTAGTTTGTAAGTAAATAGTGTCGAATTTAATAAGTCTCCAAATATTTTAAAATATATCGTTTTAATTGGATAGATACGGTTTAACTTATTTATGTATTTTCGCAACACCCAACGGGTACAACATCTGGACCTGGCTCGCGGAAGACAGGTCGCTTGACCCGTGATAAAGTACCCTTTTCCGTATGTCTTTTATTAATATGAATACTACCAACAAAAGTTTTTATTGTAATGTATCGTTTGCAGAGGTGATATTTATCTGTGATAATTTTATAAATACAGTTGATTTTCATCCAATAGTTCATAGAATTTTATACAACCAGATTTTATACATCCAGGCTGCTAGCAAATAAATAAATTTTTGTATAAATTAAATCGCTCCACAAATAATTATTCATTTTTCTCTGCTCTTATAACATGTTTAATACATTAATCTTGAAAACTGTAAATGTCGTGTAAGACTTGAATTATATGGCGTCTGCTAGGTACTATGACTATTATGGGTTTGATTTCCAGTGAGGCACTGGGTATTTTTTGTTTCTGTAAATTGTTGTGCAGTTGTCTTCAAAGAAAAATAGAAATAATTTTAAATTAAACCTTAATTTATAAGGTTCCAATAATAATAGTAAATCAACTATATGCTCTAAGTTCTCTCAGGTATTCATAAACTACACCGTACTGGGCGTTGCTTATATTTGTACTTTGTTCCTGCAATAGCGACAGGAAATATCAATTCTTTTTAATAGTTTCTTGTCAAATTCTGTACAAATTGCAATGAAAAAATTACTGGCATGTTGGACATTATTGATGATGTGATAAATAAATATTTCAGAAATAATTTATCCATAAACAACGTCATACAAATTGTGTGATTTCTTAATCCTACATGAGCTATTGTCACAGATGGTCATAATTGTGGAATGAAGGTCCTACAATTATGACCATGCGGTCAGTTTTTGAACTATTATTTAAAACATGAACAATTGTCCATTTGGCCCTCAAATAATTTTCTATTTGGTGCTCCTAACCACCAAACTTAACCTAATATTTTAATAAGGAAAATCTGATTAAATGACTTGAGATTACTTGACTGGACGATTGAAAGAGTATAGGCATTTCGGGCTATTGTTACTAAATTATGCATTAATGAGTTCAATATTACAACTGTATGAGAGTTACCTTTATCCTTTTATTATTGTTTGTCAACAAAAAAAAATACTCGAAGTTGTATTATGTAAGCTTACCTTTAATTAAATCTGTAGATGTACTTTGTTGCTCATCTATTTATATATAAAAATGTTAAGTTGGTTTGTGTACGCTTCAAAAACTCAAAAGGTCTGCACCAAATGGGGTCAAATTTTGACAGGATACAAAAACCGCTTCAAAGAATGTTTGTATTAGTTTTTGTGTCAGTATTGTTACTCATTTTACATCCATGTTACCACAATGTGTACAACATAACACATACATATGTGTACAAAAATAAATACAAGTCTTTTTTATGACGCTAATAATGTCAGCTCAATTTTTCTAAAAAGCAATAAGTACTAATGAAGAAAAGTTTTATATAGTAGGAGGCAACTTGTATAGATCTAGGTAATTTTAAAATAGTCTTTTTAATTTTGTAGCTAAGTAAATATGTTCCAATAATTCTTATTTGTAATTATGAAATTAAATGTTATATAAGTATTATTGTTTTTTTTTGTAATACTAACTTTAAAATATTGCGTTCCAATATATATACCAGAATTCCATTATATTCGACCAGAAGGTCAATAGGGAATATGCATGTATTTTTTTCATTTTTTTAAACGATTCTACTAGTTATTACATTACCAAAAATAAATATAACACATCCGAAATATAAACCGCTAAGCAAATAAAATTTTATTAAAATCACTATCATTTTGGGGCAATTTGAACACGTCCATTTTGGCGCGCTTTTTTTGTGACGTCCGATTACACTTTCAGACGAATTCGATGTCAACAACGGAGTGAAGTTCACAAAGTTTGTGAAAGTTAAAAAAGTGAGCGATAAAAATTAACTTATTACGACGGAAAAGCCAATAAAAACTTATTATAAATATTGTGCCGTTCCTTTGTGCCCAAATAATATCAAAACTGCACCTGACAAAGTATATTCAGTCATTGTGTTGAGTCTTTCTAAACGGGAATTTAATAATTTAACACTGACACACAACTTGTTGACACTCTTGACAGTGTAGGTTGACGTCACGTTTTATTCAACCAATAGCGTTGCGTTTTAGAAATTTGCGAGGGAATCTTAAAAAAGCCAATTTTTGATGATTAAATTTCACTATTAAATTATAATAAATTTCAAAAATACTTGTATGGGTATCTTTTTTTAGCAATAAAAATTACAAATAAAAATATTTTTCCCAATTTGGTGTCACGTGCATATTCCCTATTCTCGTCATAACAATTCGGTCTAAATTCAGTTCCCATCAACTCTCGATCTCACAATTGTCATAATAAGTAATAATTATAATATACCGAACTTTTATTAATTGGCTTTATTAATTTTATTAATTGGCTTTTATGAATTGGCCTTCTGAAGGTATACCTTCAGAAGGCCAATTCTCTTAATAAAAGTTGGGTCAAAATTAAGTTCCGATCTATTCTCAATCTAACAATTGTCATAAAAGGTACTTTCGGAGACGAGAATTGAGCTTTAGGTCAGGTCTCGGTAACCTGGTTAATTTTTTTACGCAGCTCATCAGAAACGCCATACATTTCAAAGTAAACATTTTCATTTCGACTGCATTCCAGCAGAATCGATATTATTTCAGTTCTGAGCAAAGAGCAAATTAAAACTTTTCTTGCTCAAATTAACGGTTCATTTCACTTGCTATTTTGTTCGCCCCGCCCACAACGAACTTTTACTGATCTTTTTTAAGTTCCTTGCACGATTATGTATGTCGCGTCTCGGCGTCGTTGGAAGAATGCTCCGCCCACGTTTCGTTTGAAATGAGCCAGGTTAATCCCAGCGATCATACCGCTCGCGAATCAATTCCACTCCGCGCAAGCGGTTATGAAGAAATTGGTTAAGACCCATAAATAACCGGTATTTTTCGAACCGTTCCCAAGCCCTGCTTCTGGTTGCACTGACGGTGGACACAGGCTTAATACCTATCGAGAGCGCGTTAATGTGTTTTAAATTTATAATGAGCTGAGACCCGCGGTTTTACCCGTGTTTGTTCTTATAGCCGCGGGCAACGCCGCGGGGCGAAGCTAGTCTAAAAAAGTAGCCTAAGTTACTCCTTATGTCATCAGGTATCTGCCAGTGAAAGTCCCGTCAAAATCGGTCCAGCCGTTCCAGAGATTACCCGGAACAAACAGACAGACAGACAGACAAAATTTGAAAAAAATGTTATTTTGGCATATGTACCGTGTAAACATACATATGCATTTAGTAAAAAGCGGTTATTTTGATATTACAAACAGACACTCCAATTTTATTTATTTGTATAGATTAGCTTTGGTCATTGGCTTCGCTTGTGATAATGTAGAATTTGCCAATTAATTTTGATATCCCATGCGAATAAGTACGCTTTCTTTGGATTGAAAGTATACAATGGCCTTTTCCATGTGCAAAATCTTTTTTATGACATAGGGAGCAAAATAGCAGACGGTTCACATGAGAGTTAGTGACTAGTACCGATCATAGACACTTGCAATTGAAGACTCAAGTGGGTTGGTACCCTTACACCCTCGGGGGATTAAGCTCTGACAACACTGGTTTTCTGACGTATATGAAGTGTAGAGGCAAGAAGAACCATCTCATATGGGCGGCAAGTTGAAAGTGTCCAGTTGTATCCTGAAAACAGAGGTCGCTGGCGTACGAAAATCTACGATATGAACATAGCTGTTGTAGATAGAGTGAAGTGTGCTGAGATCAGATAATGCCAGGATACAAAACTTCAACTATTTACGTGATTTTATTAGTCCACGAGGGCTGCTAATTATGTATCCGGAATAACAAAGTGAAACAAACATATAGCATTTATGATAGTTTTATTCTTATTTTTATTTATTATAGTGAGTATGGCGGATGAGCGAGAGCTTCCAACCCCAGCTCTTGCAGCTTGGAGACTGTCTGTTGCGCAATATGGGGTCGCGCGTTGTCGTGAAGGAGCAGTGGGGACGGCCGATTGACCAAAGCTGGTTGCTTGGTACTCACCAGACCTTGCACCTACCGACTATTACTTTTTCCAAAATTTAGACAACTTTTTAGTGGGTAAAAAATTTAATTTCCGAGAGGCAGTACAAAATGCCTTTAAAGAGTTTGTAGCCTCCCGTCCAGCTGATTTTTTCAATAAACTGCCAATGCGTTGGCAAAGATGCGTCGATTGCATGGGTGATTACTTCGAATAACAGAAATAAAAAAGTTTGAAAAATAAGTACTTTCACTTATTGCACACAAAACGGCAATTTCATAGGTAAAGACCTATTATAATGCGGAAGGTGCAAAATAAAATATTAAATTTAACATAATTGAAGTCCAGAGACATACACAATATATAAACACACATACATACATAACCCTACATAAATTTAATAAAATATATAAATACTCAGAGACTTTTCATACACAGAAATGGTTCTCCTTGCCTTAACCCTCCATACTAAGGTCGTAGTATAACTCCGATCGAGTCTGGCCATTTGATTAATCGTTACTATATCGGTCGGTGTTTAAAGATCATTCTTTGCTGTTGATGAGAAAAATAATGAAAATCATCAAGAATTATTCTTTGTATTTTAACAAGCATTGTCCGTGACGTTTTTTTATGAGAAAAAATTATCGCCCTGCAATTTCAGGTAGGTAACACAGAGACACACAGATTGACAGAAGTGTAACAACTGACAATGTAAAGATAGGTCGGTTCAACTCCTTGCATAAACACCATCCCCAAGACCCCATCGAATTCAGAACCAATTTGGTATCCTTAAAATACACATTTAACGGCTTTTACAGAAATCTTTAATAACTATAAACACTAATCACAAAAACTTTTCTTCCTATAGAAGTATTAAAACAATACCTACATTAAATAATTTATTTGATTCTGAATAAGTTACAAAGAGAACTGGTAGAGTTGCGTGTTGGGCCGTTGCGGGGGTGCGGGGCGCGCGCAGCCCGCCTCGCGCCGCGTGGCGCCGCAGCACGACCAGTGGCGCGTGCCCGGCCAGCCCGCGTGCCCGTGGCCACAACCTGCAACCACATTCCTAATCAAACACCATCTTTTATAACAATGATGACTTCTTCATTTTTACATTCAAAAAGCAGTCAGTTGGTTGTCAATGTTAAAAGAATTGTTTAAAATCTAATTAGTAGTTACCAAGTTTAGCTTTATAATTCAAACTAGGCTTCGCTCCTATTTTATATGTCGATAGTCTTTTAACAAAAGCACACAACAGTTTTAACTGTTCTGTGTACAAAACAATAGTTTAATGAAATTGTCCGCCAATAAAAATAAAACCTTTTAGAAGATTATTGAACAAACAGAATAATAAAAAGGCACCATCACTGCCAGTGGAAAAAGAACTATGCCAAAAAAGGCATGAGACTCGTTTAAAAATAGTTCACCTTTGTATCCATGAGGCATTTGCGCTCCACAGCCGCAAGTCGCTTCCCTCTTGCCTCCCGATGAACAGAAAGTACAACAGTGGTACACGCCCCAGTGGGAGGCGCCCGCACGCGCACAGCACGTAAACGGACTGCCCTGGAAGCGTCATAATTTTGTATGAAAATTATGTTAGTTGAAATTCAGAACAAGACACATCCAGAATGTTCTACAGGTAAACGTAGAATCTGCAATAAGTCTAAATTTATGAAATATATAAACGACATCCTAACATCTGGTGTTGAACCGCAACATACACATAGTCTGTGTGTTATAGTGCGGGAAGTCTGTTACCAGGAGACCTAGGGTAACAGACGGAGGCGTGAAGGGAGCGGGGTTTAGGAGATGATTTTCTCACTGCCGGTCGAGCAGGCTCACAAGACCGATCTACTGACGGCTAAAGGTGTCTTGGCCGCAGTGAGAGGTGGGACAGGGTAATGAGTCAATGTCGGATTAGACAAAATGACTCGTTTATAAAGTACATCTTATATATTAATCTTACTCTAAGTACACATGGATGGCTATTTGCTTGTTTGCCATCCGTGTGTGGTGTTGATGCAGCTGCCTTAATCTCGGTCATGCCGAAATGTTGACAGTGCATCGACTTTACGCCGCACTGCGTGTGACATAGATGCTGTTGCTGGGTGATGCAATTATTTTCACGATTGAACACCTCATTAAGCGTGATGAGATTGTCCATTTAGAAAATCCCTCTTTGGATGAATATTTTACACTTCTCATAAATACTTAGCATAAAAAATAATCTATAAATTAAATAGCGATGAAAAGTAAACAATTTTTATGAACCTAACTCCTTAAAGCTTTTGTAAACTCTGTTCTTAGCAAAACTTTTGAAATTTTAAATAAAATATCATAAAGAGGTAAAGTTTGTAAAAGCGGTGAAAGGAGGAAGTGGAAGAGGTAAATTTTACCTCTATGATCTTTAATCGCCGATAATCTCCGGTACTACTGATCTGATTTTTTAAATTATTTCACTGTTCTAAAATTATATTATCCCTGAGCGCTATAGATTACTTTTTACCGCGAAAACCGAAATACACGCGGGCGGAGTCGCGGGCAAAAGCTAGTATAAAATAATTTCGCCGTAAGCTCAATAAAAAACCTCGTTAAAATATATTTATACATTATATACTTAAAAGAAAAGCTTTTAAGTAAATAGAAAAAAATATGTTTCGAGTGAGCCTCCTAATAAGTCCTGAGATAAGAACGCTTAACACTGAACCAAAAACAGCTTTCAAAATTCTGATGTAACTGTAACAGAATTTTGGTAAATACTCGACCTTTTAATTATTTGTATAAAAAGGACAGAATGTAATATTATGAACAATTTTACATACTTTTATCGGTTTGTTATTAATAGTCACAGCCAACAGGTAGGCGCCAGGAGATCTCGGAGTAACTGCCAATGTATAAGTTCCGTCTGGTCTTGAAGTGACGCGAGCTGAGCTCGGGCGAGCGCTCGAATCGCGGCGGCGAAAGTAACCAGCCACCTGAATATTAAAACGACAATTTTGTAAGTCAACTTTATGTACCTAAGATTTTTAGTATACTCTATACTTTTTTAGTATAAACTGTGTGGAGGGACGGGTGTCATGCCCCTTCAACAGAAAGGGAGGATCCTCCGATCAGGCGAGGTGATCATGCCTGGCGAGCCGCGGCCCAATGGTTGATGTTGGGACGTTGTATTTATGCTAATATATAATTCTTAATATCGCGATACAGGATTAGCAATTCTTATTCAGGAGTTACTCCGTAGTTCGGTGTGTGTGGGAGTCGCCACAGACTGTTTTACGCAATGGCAATCTATCAAGGCGTTTATTTATTTATCATTACACACCTGGATTTAACGTAACAGAACAGTAAAACTGTCTTTATGTGGATAAATAATTGAAATATTATCACAGGACTATAAGGCAAAAAGTTAAAAATAATAACAGTGCGGAACACGCCGTCTTAGAAACCCCAGAAAAAATGCTTAAAATTCAGCATCATCTCAGCCGAAATACATCCACTGATGGACCTAGGCCTCTTCCAAGGCTCTCCACAACAGACTGTCATCTTCTGCTCGAATCCAACGGATTCCCGCGACCTTCACTAGGTCGTCGGACCACCATGTAGAGGGCCTTTCCACGGTAGGAGGCTTCCGCACGGAGGGCTTTCCGGTACGCAGTCGCCACTCCAGAACTTTTTGGCCCCATCGGGTGGTATAAACGATGATGATAACCTAACCAGTCTAGGTTTACCTTTACCAAAATAGCTTTACCTGTTCATCTCCACACCATATCTTTTCTCCATTATTGTCACGTAATTCCAGTGTCACCTCATGTTCAACGTCTACTCGAAGATCTTGTAGACCTGCATGAAAATAAATTGAGTCTCTATGTTTGTTTTTTATCTACATATATAAAAGTGTTAAGTTGGTTTGTGTGTGCTTAAAAAACTCAAAAAGGTTTGCACCAACTGAGCTCAAATTTTGACACAATATACAACAAGCTTCAAGGTGATTTTTAACTATTTTTCGTGTCAGTTTTGATCCTCATTTCACATCAATGCAACGACAATATATCTTAAGTACAACTAGATTTTTATAAATTTTCTCAAAAATAACAACTTCCTTTGGGGAATACTGATTAAGTAATGGGGAATTTTACAAATACAAATACAGATACAGTCTTTAAGCTATGGTCCATGAACCAATTAAATAATTGTACTCTGTACGAACTGCGTCTAGAGTCAAACGCTGTAAATCCACAGTGCGTTAAGTCGTTTTAAAAGCAGGCTTACCTACAAATTAATTCACGTACCTTCTGTATTCAACACGCACATCTCAGGGTCAGTGGTTTGAGCAACTAGTCTGCCGAATATCGTGGGGTCGTGAGTAGAAGGAGCCCGAGGCGCAAATCGCAGCTCAAGTTGAGGGGCTTCAGTCAGCGGTGCCAGCTCTGTCACACGTTCTAGGCGACGAAGTACTGGTCCGCTTAGCATAAGAAGTTCGTCTTCTTTGCCTTCGGACAGGAGCTGTAAGGGAGATGTCAAATTGAGATACAAAGGTATCAATGGGTAACCAGAATTTCGAGGGTTCGATCAGTATATTTAAGAATTATTTGTGTTATAGAGGCAGCCTTGTCTTTCCTAGACAAGTCTGCCTTTATGACACAACCATATTTTTAAGGAATTTAAATAGCAGTGTGTCCACAATTTGTGACAAAAGTTTAACATAGTGGTGAATCAACAAAGTTAAATGCATGGATGGCGTAGTGGTGAAAGAGATCACCTCGCCGCTTCCTACTGCGCTGAGTGTTGTGGGTCGCCCGATCCCCACATGGGACAACACTTTGTGTGATTCACAAATTGTAGTGCTGAGTCTGGTTGTTCTTTGTGTCCGTTAAATGTATGTATGTAAAGTCCCCGCGACACAGGATATATTCCTGGTACGGGAGTTGTCTTTTTAAACAAAAAAGTTAAACAAACACATCTGCCTCGTTAAGTCACTAAGTTACGCAAGAGACAAAAAGATGAGGCGATCATCTCTGTTACTATTGGTGTATGTTGGTATATTAATATTGAGTATATTAATATTGAGTATATTAATATAAATACAAAGCACCTCCTCAGCGAAGTGCACGGCGTCCCCGGCGTGTCGCGCGGCGTCCCCGAGCGCGCGCGTGCCTTGCTCGAGGCGCGCGCGCTGCAGGTCGCGGGCGCGTGCCGCCGCGCCGCACAGTGCGCGAGTGTGCGCTTCCACAGCGCGTCGGTACTGCGCGCCCCACGACCGCACCGAGCTCTCCACCTGCGCCGCTTGGCACTGACAGAAACGGGACTTTTAATAAGAGATCATTTTGGACTTCAACAGATAACATAAAAACTATTTTGCCATGGGTCAGGGATCAGTACAGTAAAGTAATATTATACGTCATTATCTTATCAAAGCTTTCATCCACAGAACAGAGAATTCTTTGTTCTGTGTTTTCGTCGACAGATGGCATTGTGCCGGCTAGCTTAATCCTCTTATATGTAGTTAGGAATCGGCCATACGAGTACTATAAAAACAAATTTCTTATCGTCATGTAATATCATGTCGTCTGAATTATTATTTATTTAAGTAAGAAGTTTGTACATGGCATACAGTGTTGTCTTATAATACTTAAATGTACAAGAAAAAACCAGTACAACAAATATACAATAGGTCATAAGACTCTCTTTCCTAAACCAGGCAGGAGACCTGTCTGTATCTTGGGTAAGAGTATCCATTTATAATATCTCATATCGCTTGCAAAAAAATATCTTAAACTTAATTCTCACGTCAGTCTCATAAGCCTGTGCACTGAGTGTCCGGGCTGCTCGCTCTACGTTTTCCGGCACCATCTTGGCTCGTTCGCACGCGTCTTTTAGCACACGCGCGCGTTCAGCCGCCGCACGAGACGCGTTGGCGAGAGCGTGCCCCGTGTGGGATATGATACAACAGTCACGACACACCACCTACAAGCAACAAAAAGCATGGTTTTAAAAACATAACATCTTCATATTATTCTGAGTGTCCACCCCTGGGCAAATGGGCAGGTAGGTACCACTACCCATGAACACCTGCAACTTAAGGGTTACGACTGCATTGCCTGCTATATCGGTGGGAGTACGCTCTTTCCTCACGGCTTGGTATCTGTTATTGTCCATTCTGACTAAGCCACATCTATTGGACTCGTCAGAATAAATCATACGAGATTAAAATCAAGAGGATCAGTAGCCAATGTAGAGTTCTACTATTCATCATTGTGTGTGTTGATAATAATAATAACTTTACACATCTCACACATGGTCGTCTGATCCCAAGCTAGGCAGAGCCTGTACTACGGTAATCCGAGTGCTGATAAACATACTTATATATTTGTAAAACCATACATATTAGAGATAAATTACACCCATACACGGAACAAATTAAAAAGAACAAATTGCTGATCTTGGGTAAGAATTGAACCCACGTCCTCTGGCTTAGTCACCTGACTTTAAGTGACTACCGCCGCCCATGGTGCGGTGCCGTCCTTTGACTCCCCTCCCCGTTAAATAGGAAGGGGGCGATCGGTGTTCTGCCACAGCGTCGAACTTCAAACTTAGTTCGAAGTTCGACGCTGTGGCAGCGCTGTAAGCACGGCGGTCTCCTTAGAGAATAGCACTGCTCCTTCAAAATGTTCAAACTTCAACTCTTACCTGTTGACAAGTAGCGCAGTATACACTCAGATCAGCCTTCGGATGCTGGCTGCAGTACTTCACTGGGGGAGGATCGAGGGGGTGCAGTGAATGGCGGGCTGTGGGTTTCTGTCTGCCGTGTGTTTCTTCACATGACGTGCAAATGCTTACAAGGCACTGATTGCAGCGGCTTTCCGCCTGAAAAATAAGTCAAGCATACATTTAAGATATGCCTTTATAAACAGAAACTTAATAAAAAGCAGATTATTTTTAGACATTATACAACGCTAGAAACTACGCAAAATCACACTTAGCTAGGAGAAGTTTTAGAACACAGGCCTTATAATAACATTTACATACTAACTTTTAAGCTTTTGCGTTCCATAATACATGAATTATGTTTAAATACGGGATTTTTTTTACTTCCCATGTGGGGATCGAAACCACAACACTCAGCGCGTCACTGAGCTGCGTCTCTACCGCTTTAACGCACCTCTCTACGCCATCCGTGCAGTCACATACTCGTAGGTATCGGTTACTGGATAATATGTCTATCCAGTATAATTCCTGGCCTATTAGCCTCTTTCCTCGGTTCACCAGACGGCGGCTGATTACCAATGTTTATGTAGATTTGACTTGCAACCATCTGGCGCACACGAAAAATATACTCAGGTATTACGAATGTATATACTAAATGTTGAGAGTGATTTCTGAAGTCTTGCTTTCAACTACGGCACAATAGATAAACTCTTTTTAATTTGGTTACATTTTTATTCATTGCTTCAGAACTACGTCATATGAAGTAAGAAATAAATGGTTTACACATGTATACTATATTTTCTTACTTGACACATGCAAGGAAGAGATCTGGGTGTTCTTTGTGTCCGTTTCATGTATGTTTGTAAAGTCCCTCGCGACACAGGATATATTCCTAATGCAGGAGTTGTCTTTACAAAAACGAAAGAAAGACAATGCTTGTATAAAAGTATCACCGGATTCAATATTGCGTCATAATAAATAGATTATTCCTAAATTTGCCAATCATAACAAATAAAATAAAACTCGTATATTTTCTTCAAATTAGTATGGAACCAAAAGGGAAGAATACCAATACAAAAAAAGCATTTTCAACCTCGGTTCATAAATAGTTTAATAAGTAAAGGTTCATTATGTAAAGGTCATTCTTTACTATCGCTAAATATTTAAGTATATAAGTAATAAGTATCCGTGTGGTGACGGATTAAGAATACGGAGCGTCACCACCCCTATTCATCCCGTGGGTGTCGTAAGAGCCGACTAAGGGAGCAAATTACGCAGGATAACTGCACTGCAAAAAGAAGGAAAACTTGACACAAACCCTATAATAACCCGTCTGGCCAGCGTGGTATAGTAAGCCAAATCCTCCTTTCTAAGGAGAGGCCTATGTCCAGAAGTGGACTATTAACGGTTGTTGATGAAATAATAAGAGCGATAAGTTCTAGCGAAGTGTTTAATTGTTAAATAAGTATAAAGTACTTTAAATTTCTACACATGGAAGTGCACTATTTATATTGTGTAGAATTTCAAAGTTCTCAGTACCTTTTCAACAAAAGCTACCGTATACCCCATTAAACTCAGTAAATTAAATGATGCAAGAACATTCGTATTACGATTCTCAAATAAAGAAAGTTCTGAACAAAAATTCTAAAAGTCAAATGTAGCAGAACATAACGAATTGTAATTTGTTGAAATCACACGTTTGAAGCATGCACTTCACGCCTCAATTATGTCACATGTGGGCTTAAAGTGTCATGTATTTTGAGAAGAAAGAAATCATTGATTTAGATGCGATGATGGACGCAATAAGATTGTAACCTATATAGATATTAGAAGTAAAAATGTCATTGCTAACTAATGGACGCCAATTAATCTTAATTTACTGATAAAAAAACTATTAAATTAATTATTGAATTTTATAATTTTCATATATCCAGTTTCATTCTTACAAGTAAGACGAAGGTAACGATACCTCTCAAGCCAAAACCCGTTTAGACTACACGGCGTGCGACAGGGTCCATAATTGTCTCTCCTTCTGCGAGCAAGTTATGCTCGCGAAGGAGACGGCGGAGCGGGACCGGGAGAGGTTTAGGACTCTCCCGGCCCGCCAGGCCCGGGAACGGGCCAGGTACCGCAGGCGACTCAGGCGCCGGCGGTCGTAGAACGACCTCCGTCCTCCATAAGCGCAGGCCTGGGGGTGACAGGTGAGGCCATCTGTCACCCTAGCAGAAGCAGGCCGGGGTGGCGGCGAGCGCGTTACGAAGTGCGCTCGCTTCCAGGGAGCACAGGGAACATGGGGTTCCCACACGGGGGGAGGGGTCGTCTACTCGTCTGTAGATGACCCGAGGTATGTCGGGGCACCAGGGACTTCCTTTCTAGGGTATACCTGGTTCCCCGGCTATTAGTACCCGAGACGGCGTGCGGTTTTAGTCGGTTCGAGTCCGACATGCCACCGACAGGTGGTATCCGAGTGGATTTCCGCACGGAAAGAAAAAAAAAACCATAATTGTCACCATCCTAGCTTCTAAGACATTCTATAACACTATGGAGCGCATCACATCATCATCATCACATCAACAGCCTTTACTAGTCCACTGCTGGTTATAGGCCTCTCCCTAGAAAGGAGGTGTTGGCCTACTACACCGCTCTGGCCAGACGGGTTGGTATAGGGTTTGTTTCAAGTTTTCCTTCTCTCTGCAGTGCGTAGTTTTCTCCCTTAGTCGGCTCTTACGACACCCACACAATGAATAGGGGTGGTGACACTCTGTATTCTTAATCCGTCACCACACGGACTTATTTATGGAGCGCATTTACTATTAAAAAAGGAAACAAAACAATTTGTACGTTCATGAATGCTACCTTATTGTCAGCGCTGCACAAGTCACAGAGAACGTTGACCCCATCACTGTCTTGGGCAGTCGTCATCTTTCTCAGAAGAATATAGTTAAGAGGCAGAGCTGATACACCTCCCAGGGGCAGCTGAGTTTCGTGTCCGCAAGTCGGGCAGACAAGGAACATGGTGCTTTTTCCTGAGACCTGAACATATTCTCACAAGGTTAGCGTGTTGCAGAACAAAAGGAACGGCAGGTCTACTGGATTAATTTGTATTGTTCAAAAAATGCTTGTACTTGTGTAACAATTTATTCTTCTGCGTTCTCTCTCAAATTTTTGCAATGCCTGGAAAAGGCTTCTAAGTTGGGACTACTACATATAATATTATAAGATCATTGATGTACACTTGGTTGGCAAATAAAGATTTGATTTGATTTGATTTGATTTGATTTGATTTAATAGATTCCAATACAGACACTTTCTGAAACGTGGTAATTTTTTTGATCCAATTGGAATTCTTGTGGACCGTTCCAGCTAAGGTAAAATACTTATGTGAAGAGTGGGTTCACGTCTCGATATTGCACTGGGTGGGATTCAAACCCGCAACCAATTGATAGGGAGTCAGACTCTCTAAGCGATTATGCTACCGCCCTTAATTACTAATTTCTTGTTCAGTGGTAATAAAGGGAAATGGTTTATAACTTTCAGACCATAAGTCTTAAACTTAAATAAATTTGAGTATTAAATAATTGAGCTAATAAATACGTTTGAGTTTTACCTTTCTAGAATATATTCCATATTTGCGTTGTTTCTGTTCCCAAGAACCTTCTGACCCTGAGTGACGCAGGTCGGTCTCGTATCCAGAACCTGCGGACCCAATGCCTGACCCGGATCGGGATCCTCCTGGGTCTAACTGGATGGAACCTGGGGACAATACAAAATATACAAGACGTGACAGAAAGCTACATTGAACGTTGTCTGTCCCAAAATTGTTGATTTAATCTGATTTTTGTGCGTTTTTTTACGAAGATGTTTTCGGATGGATTCGATCATGCCATTGATAACGTTGGGGTTATATATATAGTTTTATTCCTATGAGCTTTCTACGCTCATAATCTTTTTCTGTATTTACAAAATGATGTAACAAATAGCGTTACATTTTTATACATGACTCAGGCGTTACTTTTGGCAAAGTTTGATTGTTTTACCGGAAGATCATGCCTCCGTGTTTGACATTGACTAGCATGATTCATTAGCTAATAACGTGTTGCCTAGATATAAGTTGGGAAGAGTTGGAAATAAATGTTTGTTTAAAAAGTCGATGAACCAGGCAGAGACGGATTTAGGAGTTCAAAATGAATATTTAATTAGGCATTAGTGTACTTAGTCATTAGTGTCCTGTCAATTAGGCATTAGTGTCCGTGTGGTGACGGATTAAGAACACGGGTTGTCACCATCCCCATTCATCCCGTGGGAGTCGTAACAGCCGAATAAGGGAGCAAACTACGTAGGACAACAACACTGCAAAGAGAAGGAAAACTTGACACAAACCCTATACCAACCCGTCTGGCCAGCGTGGTATAGTAGGCCAAAACCGAGAGGCCTACGTCCAGCAGTGGACTGTTAAAGGCTGTTGATGTGATGTGATGTAGTGTACTTAAAAGATTTTACTATGTATAAGAATAATAAAATTATAAGTCAAATCAGTATCTTTTTATTAAACGTTAAAATGACAGACGAGGTACATTTTTGTGTAAAAATAAAACTCATCTTCAAAGCTGAGTATTATGTAAATGGATAACTTAAGCGGAAGATAATGTTCGTAACCCCAATATACCATGCTATCTAATAGAAGACAAAAACAATTTATCCCCACTACGTGTAGAGTACCATAAACTTTTCTTTTCCAGGTTTTATTTTATCACTCTTGCGTCGTCAGTAATATATAATAATGTCCATTAACTCTGACTGACAGCTTTCTGGTACAAATAGTAGTCTGGTTCAAGTAGTCCGTATGGATTAAGAATACGGAGTGGCAGCATCCCTATTGATTCCCTAGACGTCGTAAGAACTGACTAAGGGAACAAACTACAACAGTTCTGCAAAGAAAAGGAAAACTTGGAACAAACTGGTCTGGCCAGCGTGGTACAGTTGGCCGAAACCTCCTATCTAAGGAGAGGCCTATCTTCCGCAGTGGACTATTATATGCTGTTGATGATGATGATGGTACAAATTAGACATGGAAATTACTGCTCCTTTTAAATCATATTCATTTGATTTCGTCATAGACAAAGATAAATGCCATTAAAATATATCAAAATTCTTTTTATTTTTTCAGATTTAAACCTTTCACGAGTCTTGTTCTAGCGTAATAATAATAATTAGGTGGCAGTGGTTTTGTAAATCAGTCACAGGCGTGATGATATGATTATTAAATCATATCATTTATCGCATGTGATTATGATTTTATTCCATCCCTAGTACAAATGAATAGTAGCTAAGCCGATAGAACTAAATAGACAACACAATTGACAGGATTCATAGATAGGCGGACTTGGTGGCACTACGTGTAAGGGTACTACTACGGAACTAAGAATGATATTAAACATACATTTAAGCTCCTAAATATCTTCAATATTAAGAATTAGTATTTGGAAACATGTTATTTGGGTTATTCTCTTGGTTATTATTAGTTATTTATAGTAGTAAGTAATTCCAGGTAGACGGCGTGGTACGCCTAAAATAGAGCCAGCGGTATATGTTTGTATAAATTCGTCTGTCTGGCTGTTTCACCTACAGAAAGTTGAAGGTTATCTTCATGAAAAAAGAATAACAAAAATAATTATTCAAAATATTTTGAAATTACTGCGATTGTCCGTGTTTTGACAGCTTGGGAATACGGAGTGTCACCACCCTTATCTGAGTCTCGTGGCGACTAAGGGAGCAAACTATGCAAGACAACAGCATTGCTAAGAGAAGGAAAACTTGAAACAGACCCTGTACCAACCCGTATAGCCAGAGAGGTATAGTAGGCCAAAAATTTCCATTTTTTTTTAAAGACAACTCTGGCATTTGCAATATTTCACCCAGATAACAAATAACACCCAGACTCAGAACAACAATTTGTGGATCCCACAAAGTGTCGTCCTATGTGGGGATCGGACCCACAATACTCAGCGTAGTAGTAAGCGGCGTGGCGACCGCTTAAACCACTACGCCATCCGTGCAGTCTATGAAAGGCTGTTAATGATCATGACTGCGATTTAAGTTAACGTGGGAGAGCCATGATTTGACACGTATGGGTCCGCTCGACCGAAGTACGACTGCCTCACAGAAAACCGTTGTTAAACAATGCTTTCTTTGCTTTTCATCGAGTGAGTGAGATCACCTGAGCCCTTTAAGTGCCCAGAGTGAACGCATAATTGTGTATAACGCAACTTCAGTTGCATGAACTCATATCTATGTGCGGCGATAGTCATTTCCCATCAGAGGCAAAGTGTGAGTTTATTTTACATCTACTCGAGTTCGCCGCTGCGATTGGCCCGCACTGAAATCTTCACCAATCGCAACGCCGAAAGCGCTCGCTGTCGAGAGCGAGTTGTTGTGAAATAAACTTGCACTAGGTCCTCTTATGACCCGAAGGAATTTCGTAATGAAAGTTCGGTCTCAATTCCGTTCCAATCAACTTTCAATCACACAACTATCATAAAAGGTATTTTCGTAGTAAAGTATTAAACATCTAATGTTGACTGTAAACTGTAATGTGATTATATCGTATTGTAACCAATAATTTAATTGGCGATTTAATCTTAGTTACTTTTTATGACAGTTGTGAGATCGAAAGTTGATCGGAACTGAATTGTGACCGAACTTTTATTACGAGAATTGGCCTTCTGTGTGCGGGTTCCCATCATTACTATAAAAAAGTTTCAAGATACTTTGTCTGTTTTTTACTCACAGTCCACAGTGTCATGGTTTCTGAATGTACTTGGTATCTCCATACATCAAACTTGTTGACCTGCAAGACTAAAAACAGACGGGCCTGTTGGTCTATTGGTTAGCTACAGTGGCTGCTAATAAATAGGGAATGGGTTCGATTCCCACCTGGGATCAATATTGTGGAAAAAAAGCTATAATTTGTTCTGTGTGTGTAGTTTATCCATGATATGTATGTATTTAGAAATATATATTTCTAAATACATACAGTATGTTTATGAGCAGTCTGGCTGTTACATTTGAGGCTCAGTCTGGTTGTGGATCTAAATGGAAGATATATCAAGTTATTATATATATTTTTCTTTTATAATTATTGTTATTTGACACGACAACAATTATACGTGTTCTTTACACGTTTCTGATAAAAAGAGTCTTGGCAGAAAGGCAAGGAATGAATTCATCCCAAAAGAGTCCCTTTTTCATGTTGAGAACAGGAATGTTATAATCATAACAAAAATAATTAATTTGTTCCAATAGTTTCTAACCTCAAATCATTTACAAAAATATAAATTTTGTAGATATCCATAGTCTTTCCTGTACACAAGTTTAAAGTTAATAAAACAAGAAATCTTTTGATTTAATACTTCGCGTTATAAAAGATGATTCCGTGAATGTTCAGACAAATAAACTTCATGGTTGTTTATTAATGATGCGCGCGTCTGTTTAATTTCTCATTGTTATGGTTATAAATGTGGCCGGTGTAAACCATGAATCATGATACTTTGATTGAAAGCTTAATTATTATTAGAAAGACTTCCAATAAATCTATATTCAGGTCCTCGCAACAAAGAAATAAGTACACGTTGCGATTTAATACATGGTGATTACTAATTTATGGTCCACTAGATTTGACCGGTTATCGCGGTAAAAAATAGCTTATATCTTTGCTCAAGAATCAAAGTATCTCCATACCAAATTTAATCTAAATCAGTTCAGAGGTTTTAACGTGAAGAGTTAACAGACAAACAGAAAGATATGGATCTATATGCAGGTTGGTATTTTTTATTTCGGAATTGCTAACAACAGCCATATTGAGTTACAGGAAAGCGAGCCTGATTTTCGGGCTATTGCTTATATTCTACGACCAGCTTTTGCCCGTGGCTCCGCCCGCATAAATGTCTTGTATCGCGGTAAAAAAATAGCCTATGTCTTTCCTCAAGAATCAAAGTATTTCCATACCAAATTTAATCTAAATCGGTTAAGCGATTTAAGCGCAAAAAGGTAACAGACAGACAGACAGACACACTTTCGCATTTATAATATTAGTATAGGTCGATCCTTTCTACCATTGCCTTTTCTAATTACTAAAATGTCCAACTCCCTATTAAGTAAGTAGGACTAAAACTATAACTAGCCAAATGTGGACGTGTTAAACGTCTCTGTCTACCACTACGGGGATACAGTCGCCAGTGCATATCGTCGGTATTTACAAAGGCTCAATTTAAACAGTTCTTTTTGCATTTGATAGCTCTTTTCTTGAGAAAAGTTAAAAGCTATCATTCATTATTTTACGACTTTTCGAAGTGGCGTAGTGACTATAAAATCAGGTGAAACTGTAGAGAATAAGTGATACGAACAATAAAACTGAAAACAGTTTTTTCACAATGCTTTTATTAGCTTCACTTGGAACTAACTATGTAAACAAATCTTGGAAGATTATTTGAACGTTTTTTTAACTGTCGTAAAGATATGAAGCTTTGTAAAATGTTTTTGTAGTAGCTTCTGATGACCTCAGTCACTCGGTGAAAAGCAAAGAAAATGTTTATTCACAACTTGCTTTTGCCCGCGGCTCCGCCTGCGTGTATGTCGGTTATTGCGATAAATAGTAGCCTATGTCCTTCCTCATGAATCAAACTATCTCCATACCAAATTTTATCTAAATCGGTTAAGCGGTTATTAATTCCTCATACAAACTTCCACCCCCATTT